ATTCTCGTGGTGTTGGTTGAAGGGCGGATAACAAAGCACCATCGCTGGAACAGAACTTGGTTGGTCCATTCACTGAACAGGTTGACCAAACTTTTACCAGATTTCTACCCCCACCCCTAGGCAGGAGAACAAGAAGTGACACCAGGCAATGAGTAACCGGTTGAAGAGCAGCAGTGGCCATGGCGTGAGAAGAGAAAAATTGCCCCATGAGAGGCTGCCATGGCACAGGAGGAAAATTAGGAAAGACACGCACAGACAGTGGCGCGCTCGAGGAACATATGCAGAATTCCTGTGCAGCTCACAGGAGAGAAGCTACAAAAGCATCAGGTGAAAACACATATGAATTTTATGTGGAACTAGACACCAAGAGGGAGAGGTCTAGTGCAAATGATCACCTCTGTCTGTGTGTGTGGTTTGGGTCAAGCACACTCTGTACTATGGGGCAATCTAAGACTCAAGGTCACAAAACAGGTGACTGATGAAGCAACAAGGTTTCGGTCTAGTAAGGGAGCTGTCAAGGCAACAGGGGTCAAAGTGTAAGCAAAGTTTAAGTGCAGTTAAATGGCCAGTTACATCACACAGTTCAAGAGCAGAGTCAAGCAGGAGTCCAAGAAACAGTAAAATAGAGCATCAGGCATCAAGAAAAGCTTCATGGAAACAAGGCAGAAGGCACTGGAATTGAAGAATTGTGTTGTCTGCAGCATTGGCTAGGCTGACTCGCAAGGCCAGTGCTGAAGGTATCCTCAGAGTCTGCTGGGCCCCACCTGTTGCAGCTCTCTGGGCAAGGCCTGCTCACGAAGAGTCACTTTATCCTAGAACAGCCTATCCTCTGCTCCTTGCCACCATCCAACCCTAGGCAGGTTGATTCAGAAAGAAGTTACACTGATTTCATTTTACCCTCAAGTGGGTTTAAAATTGTACCTACAGCCTCATAACAAACAGTCCCACGTGGTAGGTAAGTCTCTAATATCTCCCTTGAATAAGACAGAAAATAAGCACTGAGAGCAAGCAACCTTCTCCAAGTTTGCATATTGAACATATTGAGGCCTACGGAGGCATCTGTGGCCAAATTGCAGCATACCAGCACTTCAACCATTTAGGACGGTCCTTTACTGTTTGGGACTGCAGGTGGCACAGTGGTTTAAACCGCTGTGCTGCTGGGCTGGTTGATCGAAAGGTCGGCGGTTTGAATCTGCACAACGGGGTGAGTTCCCATTGCTCTGTCCCAACTCCTGCCAACCTTGCAGTTCGAAAGCATGCAATTGCGAGTAGATAAAAAGGTACCACTTCAGTGGGCAGGTAACAGCGTTCCGTGCACTTCGGTGTTTAGTCTTGCCGGCCACATGACCACGGAGACTGTCTGCGGACAAACGCTGGCTCCCTCGGCTAGGAAACAGAGATGAGTACTGCCCCCTAGAGTCAGGCATGACTGGACTTAATGTCAAGGGGAAACCTTTACCTTTACTGTTCACTGTACCATGACCTGCCAACTTGATAGGACAGGACAGGGCTTCATTTGTTCATGATACGAAGAAGCCCTTCCCTGCTTGGTGCCTGCCATGCAGAATGATCTTCCCATTGAGATCAGGCGGGCTTTTAATGTGGAGTGTTCTGCCAACAAATTAAAAAATATATATTAGCCAAGTCTTTCCCTGACCTTTAGCATTTCCTGCTACCCTGTTCATTTTTGTGATCTATTTTATTGTTTTATTGGTTGAATGAGATTTTATTATGATTTTATCTCTTGAACTGCCTTGGAATTTTTATCTAAATGAAAAGTAGCAAGAAATGTCTGCAAATAAACAACATAAAGCTATGTATAAACTTGCCCTCTGTTAATCCCTTTGTAAAGCCATCCAAGTTGGTGGCTATTGTTGCATCTTAGGAAAATAAATTATGTAGCTGAATCATGTACAGTGCAAAGATGTTCTTCCTTTTGTCAGTTCTGAATCCCCCATCATTTAGCTGCATAGGATGGCCCAGGTTCTAGTATTATGAGAAAGTGGGTCTGAGTAGCAATCTTGCAGGCATAGCACATTGATTTTTTTCTTCAAATCTGTAATGGTACATATTTATTATATTGCCAGAGAATTCCTCCTGCCTCCCTGTTATGTAACGTGATCTGCTGTCTGTATATCTACTTTCATCTTGTCCCCATCCCTTCACTACTATTTCCCCTGTCCCTTGTGGGCATGTAAACAGGAGAGTAAATTCACCTGTGTATGCACCTTTTAAAAATATGCAAAGTAACTTCAGAAGTGAACTGCAATTGTACTGATTTGGAGATGGGATAGGGGTAGCTAGCTTGGCCTTATTGTTTGTCTGACAGTGAGAGACAAACAATATAATCAAAATGGTACTTGGAACTAAAGGGATTATCCTAAAAGCTTGCTCCTAGAAATCTTTAAAATAAATAATGAATTTATTTTAAAGCAGTGTAACCTTATCATATGTGTATTCAACAGTCAATCCTGTAGAACCCTCTGAGACTTAATCCCAGAAAAGTTGGTACAGGACTGAAGGCCTGGGTAGCAGCACTCCTTTGGTAAACTGTACTGTCCAGTCAGATGAACCGTTAGTCCATTCATCCTTGTCAGGTTGCAAAGTAAAGTGCTGTAGGGTAAAGCAGGATAGCAAACTGCCCAGCTGCTCCTGGCTGTGCAGTATGGGAGGTCACCAAATATATACATCCAATCCAATGATATGAAACCATGTGGAAAAAGATATTGTTTCTCTGTGTGTGGCTAATTTGCTTTAAAATGGCATTTTTAAAATAAAGTTTGCTTACCAACCAAAATAAAAAACTGCTCAGTTGTACTTAACTGTGTGCAATATCCGCATGAAGGCAGGATTCTTTTAAGTTACATTTCTGCATAGATGTCACCCACTTCTGAGGTGATAAATACAAAAGAAAAATATTCCCCATTCTTTTCCAGGGTTGGGTTTTTTTTTTTTTTTTGGCATGAATATTTATACAAAAGCAATGTTCGCAGTACAGATGAAAAGTGGGCAGGTGGCCGACAGATTGGGGGAGTGGGTTGGTGAAACTGGCATAAAAGTACTAATTTGCAGTCATGGGAAATGGCCATAATGTGATTGATTAAAAAAATCAGGGGGTGTTCAACCTTCTCTCTGAGTCTCCTTTGAAACTGGCCTCCCCTTTAGTGGCAGGCAATGAATCATACCCAGCGTACAGGCTCTGATATGCTTATCTCATGATGCTTCATCAGTATTTGAGAAGCATGGAGATTTTTTAAGCACTTTTGCATCAAGGCTACTTCCAGATAAGGTTGTTATTATGCAATCATCTGCCTCACTGACATAATTGTATAGGGAATACGGATGATAGCACCTTCCACTTCTAACCCTCCCACATTTTTCCTCCACTTTTTCCATCTTTTTTCTTTCCTCACAAAATCTGTTAAGGCAAAGTCACAACACTTGTATAATACCTTTTAATTGGCAGTGCTAAGAGTTGTCAGTCTGGAAACACTGCAAGGGTTGTGGCCCAAGAAATCCCAGGCTAGTGAAGTAAACACCTTTTATTTTGAGTTCCAGTTCTGGAAACAAACTTTTGAGACAAAATGTTTTCTTGTGCTAGATGTTCACAGAAAAATAAGAAAATGTTGCTATGACACATGATGCACACTGGGGCAAGAAATACTAACTTCATGTGAATGCTGATGGATCTGATAAGAGGAAGAACTTAGGGGTTGTGGTTGTCAGATCAGTTAAAATGACCACCCAGAGTGTGGCTGCTGTGAAAAAGTAAGCTGGGCCTGCTTAGGAAATACACTGAAAATGAAACTGCCACTATCATACTGCCTATATCACACTGGCTTTATACACATCTTTGGTGTGACCACACTTGGAATGCTGTCTACAGTTCTGGAGTTGGAAAAGGCAGAAAACAAGGGAAATAAAATAGGCTGGACCAACTTCCTTGTGAGGGTTGTGTCTGCAATTGTTTAGCTTAAAAAAAGGTTGACTAAGGGAAGTCATGAGAAAGGTGCAAATGTTATGTACAGGGTGAAAAAATGGATAGGGAGATTTACTCTATCTCTTATAATATTAGAACCTCTGATCATCCTAGGTAGCTTGGTTGGAGAATCAGGACAAATATAAGAAACTACATCTTCACATGATGTAGTGAAGTATGTAAGTACGGAAATGTGCCACCACATGATGTAGCAAAGGCCGCCAATTTGGATGGCTTTAAAAGGGGAACTGATTGACATATTCGTGGGGAGTAAGGGTGTCCACGGTTACTAGCCCTGGGGCAGAAACCCTGTATCAGTCGCTGGAAAACACAACTGGAAGGGTGCTGTTGCACTTATGTCCTGTTTGTCAACTACACACTGCCTTGGCCACCCGTATGAACCAGTGCTGAATTAGATTGTCCTGCAGCAGCAGGGGGCTGGACCCCATGGCCTTCTGGCGCCTTCCAACTCTATTTTTCTATTATTCTAGTTGAATCCTTAGTCTTATCCAGATAGCCCCTTTGTTCTAGACAAAACTAAGCTTTGCATGTTTATCTCTGGCTATGTTTGTAGGCTTTCAAAGGAGGAGTAGAAACCAGTCAGCCAATTCCACTACTGTGCCAGCGGATATCGTCCTGCTGGTAGTTCAAAGCCTCCATGTTTTTCCTCTGTGGGGCAAACCAACTCGGGGCTGGCCGGAATTTTAACCGGGGAATTTTATTTTTTTCCTTCAGTCCCGGCGGGGTAGCAATCTCGAGTTCTGCTTTGAGAACTCCCACGACTATGTCACTTAACGCTTTCATCCCGAGGACATTTCCTCTGAGGTGAGGTCCCGTGATTCCGATGGAGCCAACTTTCAAAAAAGCGAGAGCTGGCTCATTTGGAGCCTAACGCGCACACTTGCCCGCTCCGAGGAAGCCGCTCTTGCCTCGGGAAATCAACACAAGGCGCCTCTGTTGCGTCGGGGGAAGGCTCCGTCCGCAGCGGAAGGCTGGCGGCGCCACGTGACACAGCAATGGGTTCGGGGGCCGGCGTCGGTAGCGGAAGTCGGGATGGTGTAGAGCCGTGAGTAAGGCTCAGGGCCCGGCTCGGCGGCCATAAGGGAGCGGCCGGGCTGGCGGGCGAGCGGGCTGGCCGGCCGGGGGAAGGCAGGCATGGCGGTTCCGGGGAGAACGTGGACGGCGCTGTGCGCGCTGCTGGCCCTGGGCGCGCTCGCGGGGCAGGCACTCGGGGAAAAGGTGAGCGGCGCGCCTCCCTCGTTCCCTCCCCGAACCCTGCCCATTGATCCCGCGTCGCTTTCGTCCGAGCCCTCCTCGGGCCGGGTGGGATGGGGGGCCGTCCCCGTGGCTCGCGGGGAGAGCAGGTCTCGTAAAGGTGGCCGGGGGCCCTCGTTCAAGGGCTTCAAGACCCAGGCGATAAGGCCAGGCCCTTTACCTACTGTAGAAGTGCAGATTGTGTGCATCTCCGTACCTTTTGCTCATGTGACTTAGCAAAGCCTCGTGTGCATTGCTGCCACGACATAGAATTATATGTGATGGGTGAATAACATTTTCGAACAGGTAATCTTTCCCCTAGCTTGTTTTTCATTTAGGATGACTCCATCACACGCCCTCGCACTTTATGCTTCACCCCTTTGTCGCTTTCTAACGAATCCCTTTAACTTCTGAAAATGTCTTCGTACCAGATATTTGAAATACCGTTTAAGCAAAACATAGCCTGAGAGTGCTTTAAAAGTTTGTGCTGTGGGTGAGCAATTGTAAGGCCCAGTTATCAAGTAAGGCCCAGTAATCAAGCGTCTACCAGGCATGTATTTATGATTTCTCTGCTCCTTTCCCGAAATATTTGTCATTTCCTCTTCTTTAATCCACTCTTTGTGTACAAGAGGAGAATTGATTTGGTACTGTCTTAGAATGTGGTGCAGAGGTGGATGGATATTTTGGGTGGTACAAGCAAGCGGAAGCTAAGATTATGTGTCTAAGAACATAAGCAACACCATGTTGGTTCAGACTAATGGTCCATCTAGTCCAGTGTTGTGTTCACACAGCAGCAAACTAACTGCCCACGAGATCCCTTAAACAGAATTTGAATATGACAGACCCGCTCCTGCCCAACTCCCTGAGCAACTGGGGTGCACATAGACAAATAGCCTCTGAGGCTGGAGGCAACACACAGCCATCAATAGCCTTGTCCTTGATGAATTTGTCCAGTCTGCTTTTAAAGCAGCCCAGATTAGCCATCACTCCTACTTGTATAGTTTAACTATATACGGTGTGAAGAAGTCCTTTTATCCATTCTGACTCTCCTGCCAGTTAGCTTCATGGGTGACCCTGGTTCTAGTATTATGAAAGAGGGGGAAAATGTATCTTTTACCACTTCCTCCACACCCAATTGTGATCTCCTCTTTTGTGTTTCCCCTTGCCTTTTTTCTAAACTAAACAATCCCAGTTGTTTTAACTACTTCTCATAGAGTAGTTGTAAATCCCTGATCATTTTAGCTGCCCTTCACTGCATTTTTCCAGCTTATTAATGTCTTTTTTCAGGTGTGGTGATCAGAACTATATACAATATTTTAAGTGTGGTCACATGACAGATTTGTAAAAGGAAAGTATGATCTTGGCAGTTTTATTTTCAAGTCTTTTCCTAATTATGCCTCATATATTGCTTGGCTTTTTAACAAGAGCTGCACACTAGGTGAACCTTTTCACCAACCACAATCCCAAAATCTCTTTCTTCATCAGTCACCTCTAGCTCAGCTTATCCTTGAAGTTGAGATTTTCTACCCCAGGAAGCATTACTTTACACGTACGTTGCATTTGCCATTTGGTTAATTCTTCCACTTGGTAAGATTCATTTGGAGCTCCTCACAATCCCTTTTGGATCCAACCGCCTTTAAACAGTTTGATGTCATCAGCAAATTTGGCCACTTCACTGCTTACTCTTAATTCCAGATAATTTATAAATAAGTAAAAAAGCATACTCCTAATACAGAACCTTGTGGGATTTGTATCCCTCCATTGGAAAAATTGTCATTTATCCCCACTCTTTGCTTTCTATTCTTTAACCAGTTACTGGTCGGTAAGAGGACCTCTCCTCTTACTCCATGACTGCTAAGTATGCTCAGGAGGCTTTAGTGAGAGACTCTATTTAAAAAACAACAACTTTCAGAAGTACCAGTAAACAATGTCTGTTAGATTGTCCCTATGCATCTGTTTATTGACGCTCTTAAAGAACTTTAATAGATAGTGAGGCAGGATTTAACCTTTGAAAAAGCCATATTGATTCCTTTTCAACAGAGCTTGTCCCTCTTTATGCGTACTGATTCTATCTTTAATACTTCCAGCCACTTTGCCTAGAACATACATTAAGCTAATTTTCCAGATCCCTTTTAAAACACTGGTATTACATCACTCATTCTTCAATCCTGTGGCACAGAGACTGATTCTAGGGACATTCTATATATATTTTAAGCATATAAAAAACTTCACATTAGAGTTCTTTAAAAACTCTAGGATGGATACCATCTGGGCCTGCTGATTATTAACTTTGTCAGTAAGGTTTAGAATTTCATCTTGGGTCACTGCTATCTTAATTCCTCTGATTCCCTTCCTGAATATATAAGGTCTAGAAGAGGTACCTGTTCTGAAGATGGATATAAAGTAGTTACTCAGTTTCTCTGCTATTTCTCCTTTAGTGCTCCTTTAATTTTCATGTAATGATCCAATTGCCTCTCTGGCCGGTTTCTTTTTCTGATATATTTAAATAACTCCTTATTGTTGGCCTTGATGTTATTAGCAATATGCTGCACAAAATGGGGTGTGTGGTTCTTTTGTTATCTCTTATAGCCTGCTTCTGCTCCCTTTATTTATCACATCTGGACAAGGCTTCCATTTTCTAGAGGAAGCCTTCCATCTTACACCTTCCTTGACACTGCTAGTTAACCATGCTGATGATCTCTTGAGCTTTGTGATATATATACTATCTGACCTGTACTGCTGTGGATTGAGTAATCTCCAAACATTCTGAAAGGATTTTACCTTCATGACTCTCCCTTTCAACTTTCTTTCTACCACTTCTCTCATTTTTGTGGTTTCTTTTTAAGTCAAATGAGACCACATTGGACCTCTTTAGCCATCTTCCACCTAAATGTATGTCAGACCTGATAGCACTGTGGTCACTGTTGGTTCAACAACATTTACACCTTGCACTAGACCCTGGGCAATTCCAGCTAGGATTCAATCCAGGATTGCTTCCCTTCTGGCCAGTTCCATGAACAGCAGCTCTAGGGAACAGTCATTTAGAACATGGAGAAATTTCACCTCTTTGTCAGAACTGGAACGTGCATTTGATGTGGGGGTGGTCAAATCACACATGATTACAGCACAGCTTTTTTTTTCTTTTTGAGGCCTCCCCAATTTTATTTTCTAACTCAGTGGGGTATGTTTTGTATGTGAGATGCTCTATCCCTAGATTTATAAGACTTCTGGCATTTAATAATGCAAATTGCTTGAAGCATATATAGAGGTTTCACCGTTTCTTAAATCTGGTGAAAGGCCCCATAAGGCATCTGAACTATGCTGGATTTGTGTTAGTACACTATCAAAGGTGGATATCCTTGGAGGATGATTTGGTTCTTCATTATTACATAAACATAAATATATTTTAGCTCTTTATTCTTAAGGTATTTTACTTTAGGGCAAGCATCTTACAGGAGTTATCAGATTATCTGCTCTTTTGTGGATAGTAGAATTTAACATTGTCAGTCTGGTTGTAGTGCAGAGTTGCCACCTCGGTTTTGCATATAATTAGCATGTACACTTGGTGATATGTTGCACTTTCTTCAGATGAGAGGTGAATTAAAAACAAAAACCTTTTCACACATTTTCTGCCTCCCTAATCCATCTGCAACCCAGTCTTGCCCACCCTGGCACTCTTCAGATGTTCTGGACAAAACTCTAAGCATTCCTGCCCATTGGCCTTGGTGACTGAGGCTGATGGAAGTTGAACATCTATCTAGAGGACACCAGGTTGTGGAAGGCTGCTATAGCCCATATGCCAAAGTTCTAAGCCCATAGATCTATTAACAATGCATGTTTAAAATATCCTGCTGTGTCATCTTCAGCATCAGCACTTTGAACAACTGCTTTGAAAAACATCAGTACTTTTGAAAGACTGTTTTCTTTTGTTGAATACCTCCTTTTTAATATTTGGAGTCCTAATCAAATTAATTTGGTTTCATTTATAGATCCAAGTATCTAATTTAGATGGGTGATATATATGTGATTAAATAAGTATAAGTGTGTGCACACATATGGAACCTTTCTTCCAAATTTCTATAAATCGTTAGAGAACGAAAATGTTAAATAGTGTATGAGTGCATGCTCTTTATATCCTTAATTTTATTTCCATCACCTGTTCCTCTTGCCGCTTATCATTTGTTGTTGTTGCCCTTAATGGAAAATCCATTAGTTATAAGTTTGCATTTATTTTTCAGAATTCTGAGGATGTTCGATGTAAATGTATCTGTCCTCCATACAAGGACCATGCTGGCCATATTTTCAGTAAAAACATTTCACAGAAAGATTGGTGAGTATACCAAACTTTATTTTTGTTATGTTAAGTATAACATTGGCACTTTATTTAATTGTTATTTCACAAGTGTTGTTGTGGATACAGAAAATTGTAATATGAAAATTAACCCATATTTTGCTTGGGAGTGAAGTGGTTGTAAAAGTTAAGTAGTTGGTGAATTTTGAGTTACTTAGTAGATGTTGCTAATACATTTAAGTTTCTATTTGAAGCCTGAAGTGAAATGCAACATTATTTATAAAGGAAAAGCCTTAACTATTTACTTTTAAAACTTTTACTTTATTTAATAGAGGGTTTCATAGTGTCCTTCAAAGTGTAGGGCAATTTTTCCTATGGAGAAGTAGCCAGGAAATATTCTTGACTGGACCAGGACATACAATACCAAGCCATACACAGTTGTTACTTAGGTATCCGTATTATTGTGAGTTTCCGTTAGTGATCGGCAGCTTTTCTGTGTGGCTAGTCAGCACGATGAATAGCTTGCCCTTTAGAGATGCTCTCTTAGAGACTGTATGACTGCTTGTTTCTAAGGCTGGAGTAAATGAATATAAACCTATTAAGAATAGTTGCATTTACACTTGCTCAACCAGATGAGGTGTGACTGACATTTAGTGGGAGGTTTTACAAGTGTAGCAGCATTGTTTTAATATTTGCTGTGTACTGAATTGTATTGCACAATTCTTCTTGAATGGCATAAATTACTGTTGTCCTCTAAATGATGCAAGAGTTGATACAAATTTAGAGGAAGGATGAATAAAATAAGCATGGTGAAACAACAGTGTTCAAAAAGCCTTACAAAGGAGTAATTTGTGGAGGACTTCTAATTTTCTCTTTTAATGCTCATTTTTACTTTCTTTGAGACTGTTAATTGTGTGCTGGAATATTCACTGACCCCTCCCCCATCTTGTGTTCAACAAATGGTAACAGTGCCAATTAAATCTATTTCAATTCTAGGTTGTAACACAACACAATGTGGGGTAAATTCTTCTGTAATGCACTGTATGTAAACCTCATGCTGTGCTTGAAACAGATTCCCTCCCCAGTACCGTCTTGTCCAGGGCTCCTCAAACTTTTTCAATAGGGGGCCATTAGAAAGGCGGGCAGCTACACGCACGGGCCAGTGAAGGGGGGGGGGGGCTGGGCACATGGCCTGGTGAGGTGGCATTGGGTGTGTGGCGGTGGCTCACTCAGCTCGGAGATCTCCCAGCGAGTTCAAAACCATCTCCTAGCGAGCGAGCCACCACCTCCCCGCCCACACAGCAAATGCACACGCGGGCAGCAAATGGCAGCGCGGGCCGGATAGATGGCCATGGCGAGCCAGATCCGTCTCGCAGGCCGTAGTTTGAGGACCCAGGGTCTTGTCTATATAGCTTTCAAAGACTTTCAAATATACTCTAGATGTGGAAGAAGGCAAATTTGTCCTGTTTAAAAAGAGTGTGTGGTATTTCATATGGCAAGAGAATTCTGACAACATGAAGTGGGAGTTAAAACAGATGACAACTGGCACAGTGACTCTTATTTTTCTGTGATCATTGGCCTGTTGAAATGTGATTATTTTGTCACCTACTTTGGTTTAACAGTTGGTCTCACATTAAAAAAGAGGATTTCCCACCATAGATCTATAGATTCTTTCCTAGAATTTTGAATGACCTGTTGTTGAACTCCAAATGATACTGAATTCATACAACACGGGGACCTATCGTGGGTGACAAGCCACAATAGATTGTTTTGTCCTCTGAACCCAGTCCACTTCCCACAGAGTGGCTTACTTTTTGGCAGCAAGCTACCCTGACAACCCATGGCTTGTTCTGGAGGTTAGTCCATGATGCATTATGTCACCTGGATGTGGAAAAGCCATTTTGTTGCTACTTGCAATTATTGGCTAGTGAGCCACCTGGCAAAGAGTGCCCCAAAAGCCCTGCTTTTCACAATCTTACCCTTGCCGCTGTTAGTGACAGGCCCTTCACTGGTGCTCAATGAGCAGAGGGGGAGCGACCATCACTGGTTTGTCACCCCCCCTTTTTGGCCCCTTAAAATTACGCCATTGCGGTGGTGGTGCTGGTTAATATTGGCATTTTGCAAGTGCTGTCTGATATGAATAGTCTTGCCTAGTCAATGTTCTTCTGTGTTCCCACTGTCAATGGGGCTGGAGAAGGCAAGGCTGCATATAGCCTAATTCACAGACAGTTGTCAACTGCTGAGTCGTCACTTGAAAAGCAGCAAAAGAAGCTGCACCAGAAGTGGGAGGAGACAATATCTCCTGCTTAGGTCATCAGTCCAACCCCTTGCTCATTGCAGGACTCCAAGTTAAACTGTCCCTCTCAGATGGGTGTCCAGTTGCATCTTGAATGCCTCTAAGTGTGGGGGAGCTCACGAGCTCCCTAGGTCATTGGTTGCATTGTCATACTGCTACTAACAATCAGGAAGTTCTTCCTGATGTTCATCTGGAATCTGGCTTCCTGTGACGTGAGCCTGTTTTTCCATGTCCTGCACTCTGGGATGATCCAGAAGAGATCCTGACCTCCTCCTTTGTGATTACCATTTGGGTACTGGAAGAGGGCTCTCATAGCTCCCCTAAGTCTTCTCTTCTTGACGCTAAACATGTCCCTTTCTTTCAATCTCTCCTCCTCATTTCTGAGGTCCCCGGACAATTCTAAGAATAAAAGGCAACAGAATGGGATGGAGTAAATAGGGCCCTGCGGGGTGGTGGGGATTGCTCCACTCTGTTCTGCCACCTGCAAGATGGTTTTTAAATAAGGAAAACAAAACAGTCTGGAACATTTGTGTAATGTCATTGGACTGGGAAATGTATAACAATGTAAAGTCTGGCAAATAAGTAGAGGGAGAAATTGTGTGTTTGCAGTAATAGAACAATTATTGCAGGTACACAAACTTAGCTTCCATTCATTTACTAGCCTTTAAAGTGGCACAAATTTATCTACCTTTTACATCCCAACTCTTGAATTTCTGCTGCTGCTTTTTTGTTTAACTGTCAGGTAACTGCAATAATTACTGCAGGAAGTACTGGAGAAAAGAGCCCCAAAATTGGGCAAGTTAATATTTCATCTTATTAACCAGAGATGCAGGGAAATGGTGAAAAGCTGGAGGGAGGTGAGAAGTGTCGACTCAATATTTAGAATTGAGAGGATTACATTGTAAGTGGAGGATACTGTGTGCTGCACCCACTTTGCCACTCCCCCCCCCAACTTCTTTCATTCGCCAGGCAAAGACTGTCCTTTTCTGAAGACATTTTGAGACCTGCTTTTAATAACTGATTGTTCAGGATACCATGCACTGTTAGCAGTTGGGATTTTTAAAATTGTTACTGAGAAGTGTTATGTTATGTTATGTTCTGTATTGTATTGTTGTATGTTGCTTAGAGAGCCCTATCAAGTTATTCAGCTGCCTATAAATTTAAAAATAAATATTGCTTTAAGACTCTATGGGAAGAAAAATGAAATGGCAGTCAGAAAGGGATAGCTGTGAGGGTGGGGAAGGGGAAAGAAGGCAGATTGGGCTGTGAAGGACACTGGAATTACCAGCTGGAGGACCAAGGAGAAGGAACAGGGGATAAGTCACGATAAACCTGATCGTGTTGTTCTGAGAACAACTCAGACCACACAGCTTGCCTATAAATAAGCTTATTTCTAATGACTTAGGATGACCTGCAAGTGTAGCCAATGTTATAACAGAACTGCTAGATTTGAATATGGCTAGAGAAAAGGGACACTGTAGTGTTACGGTGGGTGGGAGAGATTGCAGCTGGAGCCAGGGTGTTAGTATAGTGCGTGGGGTTCCTCCTCTGAAGATTTAACCAGCACTCTTGATTATGCTACCAGTTCCAGACACCACAGTCGCTAACTCTCTGCTGAGCAGAGATCTGCCACCACAGTGATGGTGGGAGAAATGCAGTTCTTGGATGAGGACCTGGATGGTTAGAGCCAGTGGGGTTTCCAGAAAAGGTTACATTTGAATGTTCCAGTGTTGGCATTGCACTCAAATTTGTCCGCCTGCTTCTTAACAGTGGGTACTTCATAAAGTGACTTAAATTCTAGTGCAGTTAAATATTTAAGCAGATCGCTAGGTGGGTTAAATGTCAAGTATTCTTAACTTTCAAAAATATGAATCCTTGATTGAATAGCTCCTGGTGCATTCCACATGTATTCACCCTTCTTTGCAGTGGTATAAATTTATCTGAATTTACTTGAAGCTTCTCTCTCTTTTCTCCTAGTGATTGCCTTCATGTGGTACAGCCTATGCCAGTTCCTGGGCCAGATGTGGAGGCCTATTGCTTACGTTGTGAATGCAAATATGAAGAGAGAAGTTCTGAAACAATTAAAGTAAAAAAATCATTTTTGTTTACTACTTTTAAACATTTGGGCAGCTAACGCTCATTTGTTTGTACAGCTTTTCCACAAATCCATATGTGCTAGGACAGTGTATAAAAATGCAGATTTCTGTAGTAGAACCTGTATCAAGACTATAAAACCCTTTCAAGTTGAGATCTATAATAATAACATAATTTCCAGACATTGAGCCGGTTGCAAAGTTAACCTCAGTGAAGAGTATGTAGTCAGCTAGGCTTGTAAAATCAGGCATAGCATCCCAGTTCTACGATGTCATGATGGTAATTATTTAATGACCTGATATAACAAAGAGATGTCATGTGTTAAGTATGACTCGTAGTAGGATGGACTAAAATGGAGCTTCCTGTAATCTGCTGAGGACTGAATTCCACCTCTAACCACAATTTTTCTTATATTCGTACCATGTGTTGCTTCATATTTGTTAAGGCTTTTGGAAATATGCAGTGAAAGCACGAGCATGGCTTTATTAGAGCATCCAGCATAACCATTTTTTCTTATGCTGACACTAATCTTGTTTCAGCCTGCTTTAAGGGATGCCATTCAAAGCTGGGATACCTACTATCCCCTGTGAATCGTGTGACTTGCTTTACATTGGAATATTGCCACCTTCTAAATGGTCTGCCTGTTTCACTCTTTGTTCCATCTGAAACCACCACTTCGTAGGGATGCATTAATGAAATTGAGTGCTTCTTCTAGCACCGCACAGCTAACTGAATTGTGCTGGAGTCCTTCTCCTTTTGCCTCCTCACATACACCAATGCACACCAATTTAAAGTGTACCTGTAAAGTAGTATTATACAGATAAATGCCATCAGGAGGACAATGGACAAGTTTGTAGCAAATGTGTTTATTGTTCAGCTGTATTCATCAGGGGTTGGCTGTGGTTCCCCATGGGTGCATCTGGTGGTCCACATGAATTTGCTGTTATATAGTGCATGCAGCAGCCCTTACATATCTAGTATCACTGCCTTAAAACTTGTGCTAGAAATGAGTTGTGGTTTTGTTTTTCTTGAGCTTCCTGACATATTGCATTTTATTTAAAACAAATGAGTTGGGTCCAAAGGTTGTGTTACACAAGAACTGCAACCCATTGTTTCCTAACAGTAATCTCTGTTTGTTGAGGATGTACAACCAGAATACATTTTCCAAGAAATGAATAAAACTGTGTTGCTTGAAAAATGGTGTTTTCATCGGTTTCTATGAAAAGGAAGGTAGCATTGCTTGCTTTTTGCCTATCTTCAGTTCCTCATGCTAAATTTATAAGTAATGGAAAACCCCACTTGCTTCTGCATTCAGTTCTTAGCATGTGCTCCATTTAATTTGGATATGTTGCTAAGAATGGAGTGCCTAATTGCTTACTCTCCTGTAAGCATATGCCTTTGCCTTGCCCATCTGCATGCTCTGAATGAGCACGTTCTCAAGTGGTATAAACTGAAATCCTGTCTTCTACTGTGTAGGTTACTATCATCATATATTTATCCATCTTGGGTCTTCTTCTGCTGTACATGGTGTATCTCACCTTGGTAGAACCTATTCTGAAGAGACGTCTCTTTGGACATTCACAACTAATACAAAGTGATGAAGATCTTGGGGTAAGTTTTTCATTTTTAATATGATTCAAACACCATTTGTTAAAAGTTCCTTTTGTCAAATTACCAGTTATCTTTTGTAGTTCAAAGAATAGTCTGGAACTATATCTTCTGAAATCATAGTTCAGATGAATAAATAAGGTATCCACATAGCCTTTTTTGTTTCCAATGAAGAATCTGGAATGAAAATAAAATAGTTGTCCATGTTTTAATAAATAAATAAATAAATTTATTTATTTCTTGGTTTAATTGCGGTTTCCAAAAATTCTTAGAGTCTTTGTGGCCTTGCTGAAGCTTGACATACAGATGGGATGTGTTAGGACATAATAAAGCTATGGGTTATTATTAGAGGAATTGGCTTAGGCAAGCCTTAGACTTGTAGATTCCTCTCTCTCTCTCTTTCTCACACACACACACATAGCGCCAAGAAGAGGAAATATAAGCTTTGGCCACTATTCTTTATTGACCACAGTTTAGTTTTTCACTTTAAGTGAGGTTACTCTTAACTATGGTTTATTGAAACCAGCCAACTTCATAAACTAAGTTGGCTTGTTTCAGTAAACTATGGTAAGACTAAATACAGTCAGTCTAGAGTCATACATAATGCTAAACTGGGTCCAAAACTTTTCAGTCGATAGAATATTTTCCATTTTTGTTCTATGTACATGCCTTTGAGCTCCATTAAAATCAGAGAAGAATCTAAATGTACCAAATACTTTTAGATTTAGATAAACACAATCATGTACGCTTCCTGCCTATCTTTAATTTGTTTGCCCTTGGGTTTACGCGGGACTGAAGCCCATCTGAAATGAACAGAAGAGGCATGACATCATTGCTTTGATTGTTCCATCCAGTTATCATAGGGTTTCTTCGATGAGATGCGTGTGGCATATGTTGGGAAATTTTGTTTACAAGTACTCTATCCAGAAGATTTTTCTTTTCAGCAGAATATTTGTTTTATATTCAAGAACTTTTATAGTGTTTTGGAGTGAAACTCTGCTGTTTAAAATATGTTAAAAGGTTAATAGTGGAAGTGAATGTATAAAAATATATAAAGGTTGAATGTATATTAGGATATTTCTGAATGGTTCATCCTATTCAATTTTAACCAGAAAAATAAGGCCAGCTATTTGCTTGTGTAATTTTATCTCAGCATCTTCAGGCATAGTTGAGGAAGGTGAAGAAGAGCAAAAGTTCTAGCAAGTTCTAATTGAAAGAACACCTGGCAAGCCAAAGTGGACTTTGAAGAGCAGCTAAAGAAAGGGATAAAAATAGGCTTAAATGGAAGATAATATCAAATTAAAGGTGTCTGCATCTCATTTGGAAAATAGATGTCATGGGTTTATGAACTAAAACATTATCCTCTGGTAGCTTAGAGGCAGGATGCTTGCCAGAGAGTTATGATTGTTGAGCTACTGAAAAGCAAATGAAAAATCAAGATGCTGGCTTGAGAAATCTGTTTTCTTATGTACTGAACTGGCTGTTAGTAGTCACAAAGGAGAGGCAGCTAGAAATGAGGCAAATGCAGTGTTGGGGATTTTTGGAAAGTAATGCAGAAATTATCTGAACATTCTTTTTAGCAATCTGCCCACTGTGTGGCTTAGTCAACTTCATCTGGACATTTTCCTCCCTAGCTAGCTCACTGAAAATGTTTTTGAATTTGAATCAAATAGTTCATTGAGAGCAAACACATTTTTGAAGTGATTAAGGACATGATCCTGTGTGTTGTGCTTTCACAGGACAGCAGTGTCCATACTCGGAGGCTTTCACATCCCCAGTGCCCCACTGGGCTGGAGACTCCCAGTTGGAAGAAGCAGTGGAGGCAGTCCTTGCTTCCCTGTTTGCCAGTCCTTGCATTTTTTTTTGCTAGATGGGCTTTCTTTGCCTGCCTTGCAATGGCAGTTCATCAGGGGATGGTAGAGGCTGTAAGAGGCCCAGAATAGTTTGTGTCCTGGTTCTCTGGTGTCCTCTTCTCTCCACCCACCGCAGTGTCTCCTTTCCTCCCTCTCTGGTGTTGATTTGCCAGCATCATTTGCAAGCCAGTGTCATTCTTGTACTGGCTGCAAGGGGACAAAGCTGCAGGGGTTGGATTTGCGATTCTCCCTTCCAAGGTTGGAGTCCTGTCCTCAGAGGATATATGCTCTTATGATGTCTCAGACCATTCTAGGAGCCATACGATCACTCCCCATGCCAGCTAAATAACGTAATGGCCACCAATACTGAGTCAAACTTGGAAGTTCATATCATCCTTCTGTAAAATGCTTGTATTTTGCACATGCTCCATCGCATGACAGCTACCACAAAGATTTCTATGTGAGGTTTTTTCATCAAGTTGGATGGCACAACAATTACTATGGAATACCTGTAGTTTGGCTTAATGGCCTCATCTCTTATTAAACTTTTAACAAAGTTTAGAATTTAACCAGCAGCTGGTTTAAATATATTTCACCACCTAGATCAAAACTCCTTAGCATCTCTGATTCTTACATGACCTGAACTGACTCAAAGTTTTATGGTGTCATTTGTAAGGGACTTTGAAATCTATTACAGTGGTTTGGTGCAGTATAGTTATTCAGTACAGATTTCATGCTACTTGGAAGAAGAGAACATTCTGAGCCAGTGTTAATTTAACTCCTTGCAGAATGCCCATTCTCTTAGGGAGGAGGCAGAACTGAGCTGAATCCAGGGAATGTAGAATGCTAGGTTAACTCCTTTGGAGGCATGAAAGGCACACATTCTGCATCCAAGCAAGGCATTTCCCAAGAAGAGCTGAATTGTGATAAGCAAATAAGCACATTTGTAGGCTTAGTTTACATAAATTCTATTTCTCTTAGTCATAATGGTGGATAAAGACCTATGCCATGTGATTCGCCATGTGCTCAGAGACCTGCCTCTGATGACTTGAAATCCTTCCCATCCCTTCCCCTGGATTCCGTGATTTCACTAAGCATCAATGTTTAAGCCTGCTTTTACCACCTTAAGGACTAGCAATTTGTTTTAAAAATGAAAGCAGGGGGTCTTAGAGATTCTGAACTTTCACAGACAATGTCAAATACTTTGCTTGGATGCTACAGTCCTGGAATTACAGAATACAGCTGTAATTCAGTTTCTAATTTAACTTGTGCTAAGGAATAGTAAGATCAGTGAATGTCTGGAAAACCCATTTCTAATACCCAAGTTCTAAATGTATGCACTGGCATATCTGTATTGCTAGTACAAGGTACCACTCTGACTATGCACTGTGGTGTGTTTGCTGTATCACCATTGTTCGACTTGACAATGGGTGGCATTCAGTGATGTCCTTCCTCTGACAGAAGCAAGTACATCAGCAGAACTGAAAGGGGCCTGATTTCACCTTCTCCCTGCAGCCTCCCAAGCACCTTCAAAATGGGGCTCTGAAAAATTGGCTTATCTTTACATTATAAATGCAAAAGAGATCAAATGCTCCTGAAAGCCCCTAAAGTGGTAAGAGTGGGCACAGATTGCTGTTTCTGACTGTGTCCAGTGTTCTTACTACTGAACTCTGGTGTCTTAAAACAAGCCAGATTGCTAATTGAGGGTGGTTGTTCTTTATACTAGAAGTCTTGAACCATGACAACTAAAAGTGTTAATTCATTTTGATATGTTAGCATGGTAAACAGGTCATAATGTAGATATTTAATCCTTAGTATATATCACATACATGACCTTTTCCAAATCTAATCTTTAAAATATCCCTATATGTCCAAAACATCTTTAAATATAAACAATAGGATTAATATTGAATGCCTGTGTTTATGGATTGCATTAATTCATAGGTATTGCTTAATAAGGATGCCTTGAAATGCATAATATACACACATAGTTGTCATTTAACTTAGTCACCGAACCAGCTGTATTTTGCTTTTTATTCTAAGATATTGAGTGTAAACATACATGTGTTGGCATTATTTGACATCTTGAAGTGAGTACACCAAACAGCTTCACAATAGCTCTTGCCTGTTGTGTAGAAGACTTAAACACAGAGTTTAAACTTCACTACTGTCTTGCCATGCGACTGTTACTGTTGTTCAGTTATACAACCCCTGAAAGATTTTAAGTGCTATACAGATACTGAAAAGTAAAATGGTCCCTGACTGCAAGCTCACAACAGGAAGGGAGAGGGAAGAAGAACGCCAGCATTTAGAGCAGCAGCTGCTTCTGTAAGCTAATGGAGGAGGCCAGGTTGACTCAGCTCCGACAGGCGTTCTTTCTGGCTGAGAGGGTGAAAGCAAGCTCCTTGCATCTGACCCTTCACTGGCTTAGTTATGGGACCAGGTGCTCTCTCCTCTTATGGTTCTGCTCTTTCTGGGAGGCAGCAAGTACAGCCTTTCAGTGGCCCCAGTTCCGCTGGGTGATGGATGAAACCTGACTATGCCACCATTCCATTCTGCAGTGCCAGTGCCTTTTCCTTTGGAAAACAATTTGTGTTAATGCTTGGTGCTGAGGAAGAATTGACTGAGCTTAACTCTGATATGTTTAATGTATTCCATTTGCTGAAGATCCACTTTAGCACAGAGAACGTGTTTCTACTCCTGCACAGGAGTGGGGAAATCACCAGTTTCTACCTATTTCTTTCCCCTTGGCTGTAGCCCCTTGGGCCGCATGGTGTACAATTCTGAGGTTCCCTCCAGAACCCTCTGAACCTCAGCAGCCCTTTTGGGGTGTGGAGAGGTTGTAAATGTGTCAGAAAGAGGGGAATGGGAAAACCTCATTGCACACTTGAAATCCTGTGCACAGTTCTTTCAATTGAAGCCCTGGAAGAAAAATAATACTTTTATCTTGTCTTTCAGAATAAAACTGCCAGAACTCCAGTGTGCTCATATCTGAGCGACAGGAGGCAATATCTCTCACTGCTTCCCACCACAAGAGCCCCTTGCTTGTATCCTCTGATAGCCCCTGCTGTTCTTACTTGTTTCTGGCCTTCCCCTACATTCCCACTGCCTGTCATGGCCTTCTTCACCCCATTCCTTTGTGTGCTTGAGGGGACATTTGTAATGCAGATGCATTCTGTTCCAGTCACAGAATGACTACCTGGAGGATAGGCACAGTTTTCAGCTTCTGTGTTCCCCATACACACCCTTTGCAAATTACTTATCTTTTTGTGCAGCTCTGGTTTTTGAGACTTGTTACTAATGCTGGGTTAAGAGGACAGTTAGTGTAGAAATGCATATACTAAACTAGTTTCTTCTGGAAAGGACTAAAACTTGCAGTAATTATTTGAAAGACTATAGAGACGTTATATAGCATCCTTCCACAGAATGTCATTATTTTGATCTTTATATATTAGGCAAGCTAGAATATTTCTTATTTTGACTTGGGCATGCAGAGCAATAAACTGCAATAAACTTCTTAAATTACAGGATCATCAGCCTTTTGCAAATGCTCATGATGTGTTGGCTCATTCCCGAAGCCGTGCTAACATGTTGAACAAAGTGGAGTATGCCCAACAACGTTGGAAACGCCAAGTTCAAGAACAGCGCAAGTCTGTGTTTGATCGCCATGTTGTGCTCAGTTAATAAGTACAACCACCTTCTTCAAACGGTGTTGGAAGAAAAAAAATGGACTAAAGTGTAGCATTGATTTCTGTCTTCCTCATATGCCATTTGTGTCAGAAGACAATTTTGCTCATCAATAGCAAAGAAAGTACAAACACTCATGGAAGGAAGATATTAAACTCGTTTAACAAGTCAAAATTTATGTAGTTATTAAATTTTTTTCACTAATAAAACATAAGCAATTTGTGTAATAATTTCGATCTCAAGAGATAATTGACTGCAGTTCTTAAATGCAGTTTTCACTAATATCTACATAGAGAAATGAGAAGATGTGCAGCATTTCTGTTACAAATGACTTTACAGATGTACTTTTGTAAATATCTGTTATTTTCTTATGGTCTGCTGTGTATCAGAAACTTATATTGTACAGTATAACTATCACATCTAAAACTGGCTGGTTGTATAAATTTAGTTGCTTGAACTGTCAATTCATTAGCTGACCTCTCTAAATATAAGGTGAAGCTTAAGTGGACAGATAAAGTTGGTGAACTAGAGACTTGAAGTACTGTGTAAAGAAAAAATAGTGCAGTGCACAAGAAGAGAACCGTTCCCCCTCCTTGGTCGCTTGCTACAGCTTGTGTGATATCTAAAGACAATTTATTCATATACATTTCAATACTTGGTGGACAATAACTATTTTTAAAATGAGATTGATAATGGAATGCAAATAAATTATTCAGAATCTTCTCTTGTCTTGGGAGTTACTTGCCTTTTAAAAACATATTCTGACCCTGTCATAGCTGATAACTAAAGAAGCAATTCTGTGGTCTCAGAAGTGGGAGTTGCAGCTCCAGCCCCTTGCAGCTGTTGCACAAAGAACTGTACTGGCTGCCCCTGCAAGGTCAGGAATGGGGTAGAGACTTGGAAAGGATATGATTTATCCTAAAACTCCTCCAGCCTCTTTTGCTCTCATTAAGTGCCCTCACTAGACAGGCTGAAAATAAGGGAGATCTGAGAATGGGGAGCCAAACTTTGCCTCTGCTGTTTCTTTTGTCCTGTCCAGGAAACCTCTTGAGTTTGGGGGCCTCTGAGTTGTTGATAAGATTGCATCCTTATTTAAATTCCTGAATCTTATAAAACAAAGGATGTAAAAATGAAATCTTTGATGGAGTCCATTTGTGTCTCTTGGGACTATCTGGCTATTACCTTTGGTATCCAACAACATAGGAAATGCCACAAAAGATGCTGAAAACCAATAGGGTAAGCAAAGTGTCTTGTTCCACAAATATAAACAGTTTCACCCTGTTTTATACCATATGTAGGTGTTCCAGAAAAATCTATAGAAGGATGTTCAAAATTTGTATTACAGAATATAAACCTGTCTGTTTAAAAGAGGCTAATTGCTAAAAATTTTATAGGGTGCAATAGCATAAAGTATATGCAACTCAACTACAACAATAATAAAATTATTTATGAAAACTAAAAAAGATGGTGAAAGAGAGGCTCAGAGTTCCAAATGATACATTAGGGATGACATACACTGAATGATAAAATGTCTCAGGAATAAACAAAAATAGTGAGACCAAATTTGATCATCCTTGCTCTTCAAACTCCAGCCTACTGTGCTACAATGAACAAGGAGAAGCTAGCATTCATGCAAATCGATGGGCCACACAAAGTAAATCTTTTATTCCTGATAGAAAAATTACACATGTTTAGAATTTTGAGCTTCTTTTTATCCAATTGTTTGATAATCAATTGATAATCAATTGTACTGTTGTAGTTGAATATGAATATTTTTAAAAATAGTGACATGTTTAAATCCTATTATATAAATGTATGTTATTTTATAGATATGCCTGAAGAAGGACCTACATGTGGTATGAACTGTATTCAAACTGTTTATTTTTTGTGAAATAAAATACCTCTTTTGCTAATCCTTTTGCTTTTGGCCAAGCATTTGGTAGCCTCAAAGGCATTCATAGCTGCAAAATGGCAAACTACATTAAAGCTTCTCTGGGAGAAATAGCCATTTTTAATAGCGCAAGAAACACACAGCGGTAAGTTCTGTACATCCCAGAGGCTGTTTCCCAGGCAAGATTTCTGTTGTAGGGATACTGCATTTTTCTAAACCTGGTCTATCGCAGCTTCATCTGCCACTCTCCTCCCTGCTAGTCTATTTGCTGTTGTGGCTGCAGTGTTAAGTATATGAGGGTCAGAGACAACCATTTAGAACCATTTAGAATATAGCATCTGCTATATCCATGATTTGTACAATTCTCTCTTCAGTCTCACTCCAAACTCACACAATTTCCAAGAATATTCTTTTAGAGGATGGGAACATTCTCTTGCTATAGCACTGCAGTGTGGGAGCGCTTATCTCTCTGCAAGGTAACATAATGGAAAGCCTTTTCCTGCACTCTAGGTATACTTCCATTTCATAGTCTTTCTGCAGTTATCTTTTCCTTTATCTCTGAAAGCTATGCATGCCTTCCTTTAGAGCATCTATTTCCATTTCTTTGTTACAGGTTTTGAAGACCTATTATCACAGACTGGGCTTTAATATAACTCCAGCCTATGTTTGGTCAAATTAGTCATGCATTTCCCTTCTCCAAATTCAGTTTGTTTTATTGCCTCCAGCTCATTAGAAAGCCAGGGAATCATCCAGGCTCTGTTAAGCAGGCCAAGAGAGCTTAGAGCAGAGAAATACTATTTCACTGTATGATGTTTTCTGTCCGATTAAATTGGCCACCTAATGAGAAGGAATGACTCCCTGGAGAAGAGCCTAATGCTGGGAACGATTAACGGCAAAAGAAGAAGGGGACGGCAGAGGATGAGGTTGCTGGATGGAGTCACTGAAGCAGTTGGTGTGAGCTTGAGTGGACTCTGGGGGGCGGGGGGTGGAGGACAGGAAGGCCTGGAGGAAGGTTGTCCATGCGGTTGCAATGGGTCAGACACAGACTTGGCAACTAACAACAACAACAAACTTGAGAACAGCATTTCCCTAGTTTATAGGGTTAAAGTTGTAAATATGATCGGCAATCCATGGGATTGGAGTTGGGCAGGAGCAACATGCATGCAAGCAATAGTTAAAATCCTCCTATCGCCTCTTCTAATTTTTAATTGGTGGTAGAGCTGCTAACAGATCTTTAAGTGCATCATTCAATCCATCCCTACATAAAGAAAAACTGATAATTGAACACTCAGCTGGTTTTAAGTTTTATTGATCCATACCAGCACCTTGGGACACTTCCCATTGGGTTTCTACAACTAGATGGATTAACTAGTAACTAACATTCCCAAAATTAGACCATTTAACAGCAATTCTCTGCAACTTTAGACAGAAAAGGGCCTACATGTCTCATTTTCTACCTAAATTTGCAAAGGATTGTGCCCTTATTTGTAACTGAAACAATTGTTTGATACAAGTTTGTTCACAATTCTGTATTTAGCATACCCATGGAAAAACTAAATCTGTTTCTACAATTTAAGTAATGAGATGGATTTGACACAAATTAGAAAATAGCTACAATTGAGTAAAAATAGCCTGCTGACAAGAATAACAACTGTAAAAGCCATCCAGTGCAGTAGACTTTCTGATCCATCATTCTATGAATTGTTGTCCTTATAGTTGCAGTGTAGGTGGAAGAAGCGAAACCAGAATAGAGCAGATCTAACTGCAAGCTACTTTGCATATTGACAATTGACTATAAATTTGGCTCTGTCTTTGACAGAGTCCAGTGGACACAAGCACTGCATGATTCAGGTAAGAATCCTAAGTTGAGAGGTGAATAGCAAAGAATCATGTGGCTTTTCTTAATATTAATCCTGGATTAAATTTGCACATGATTCACATGATTAATAACATACTTTGTAGCTTGTATTTTGTATTATAGCTCATTTATAAGGGGGAATTGTTCTAATGATATACTAACATATTTCATTATAGTACAATGTTTAGATGCTCAGTTCCTTTATAATATTTTACATCCCTGATGATTTGGAGAGTTCTTTCATTTCACCACGGGCAAGTCTAGGAATCAGAATCCTAATTTGCCTTCAGTGCTGAGGCAGCTGATATGACTTGAATTTTAACCAAATGCAACATGCAGCAAAGTCCTTTTTAGAAAGAAGAGAGCACATTATGCTCTTCCTCACACAAATAATTTAATGAAACTTGATTTTCCAGCAACATAAAGTAAAATCATTTAAAGTTTCTAATTCAAATAAAGGTTTGATGATTGTGAGTGCTGTGAATTTCTAGACATTTTTTCTGTTTTAGAGCATCTGAAAAGCATAGTTATTTAATTATATTACTTTAATCCATGGTTAAACTACAGAACACTGAGCAACCTTTGTTTCATAATAGGCAACCATAAATAGCTTTTTGAACTTTCTTGTTGCATGCTTAGTAAGCCTGCTTCCTTGCAAACAGATTGCTCTTTCATGATGTAGGTTTCAAACCCTCGTACCATATCCCAAAAGGTAAAACCAGTTGTTCAGTTAATATTTGCATATGTTGAGCATCAGGGCTGGAGCATACCGATGGGAATTGATGTACAAGAGAAGGACGAGGCCAATTTACTCCTTCATGTTTGAAAAAATAGTGGCACCTCCTGGCTCTTTTGGGAGGATTCCTTGCTCAGTATTTCTCCACTGAGATATTGATAACATAGATCAGGGGCCCCTGGCCCAATTTGGACCCATGGACATGTTTGAGAAATGGAGAAACTGCTGTGGGCATCATCCCAAAATGCCTAATTAGTGGATCACCACTCTGGCATCTTCCGGCTGTATCTGTGGTTCTTGGGCTGCATTTTCCTCAGGAAAAATACTTGTTTTGCATCAATTGGACACCACAATCTCTCTTCAATAAGAGGTTATCAATGTCAGTTAACTTCTAGTGGTGCAATACCACAAATGTCCTTTAATATATATTTTTGCCAATGTGCAGTGGATGCTTCTTGTAGTGGGGAAGGGATTACAGAGATGCATTTGTGTTCTGGAACACACTTAAATACTCAGTAAACCTCTTTTAATTTACTTGCTTCATGGAACTTAAAAAATAGGAAATTTTATTTTCTGTGCCCTTTTGACAGCTGGAATACTGAAGTTGCAACACTGAAACACCAATACTACAATGCATTGGTCTGAGGACTTTACAGCGTACAGATACCAACTTCAAATGGTTAATTATTTGGATATTCAGTGCACATCTGTTGAAGTGTATGTTTAGTTGCTAGAAAGTTGCATGCATTTCATACAAATCCATTAAAAAGGGAAAAATATATTTTGCCAACTACTTGTAATCCTCAAGAGGCCGGCTTTATGATTTGAGAAGAAAAAAATGTACCTAGTGGCAAACATCTAGCACATATGTTGGTAATTTTAAAAATGTAGAACATGGCATTTAAATACGCCAGTACTTTATCATCACAGTCTCCCACGTATTTCCATAAAATCGAGCACTCTAAAAATACTGACAGCCACACCTAGTTTGTTACAAGACATGAATCGCTAAACTGATAATGCAATTCTGCATTTCCAGCTTTGTCGCTGAGACGCACAGCTAGGAAAAGCTCCTGGGATGCCATGGACCAGTTGCCAAACTTCAGTGACTCCCATGGTGGACAGCTGTCCAGACTTTGCTACAGAGACCCGTATGCCTCATTTCCTTTGTACCCAGAGGCCCCAAACCAGTTTACTGGTCCTGAAGATTTCCCTCTGCTTCCATTCAACCCAGAGCACCTGACTGCTGATAATTTCTACAGCAATCCTTGCAGTTTCCAACTTCCTGTCCACTGTGGGAGTTTCAGTAGATGTGAGTACTCTTGTGGCCCAGCGTTCATCCGGAAAAGAAATGAGAGGGAGAGGCAGAGGATCAAATGTGTCAATGAAGGATACGCCAAACTCAGACATCACCTACCTGCTGAATACTTAGAGAAACGGCTCAGCAAAGTTGAAACACTCCGAGCAGCAATTAAGTACATAAGGCATCTGCAGTCTGTCCTGTGTGATGGTTCAGAGAATAATGGCAGAAATATTCACTGCCCTTCTCAGGATAGCTCTCACAATGATCCAGTTCCAAGGAGTTCATAATCTTCAAATACTATCTTACATGAGGATGCCATAGATCGCCCACCTGGAAGGATTAAAGATATTTGCAATACTGAGCCCGCTACACACATTTCAGCATTTTTGACTATGATTGAGATGATTTATGTTAAAAATACATGGAAGTTTCAAATTATTGCAATGTTGCCATTGTTGAAAAGCTTCCTAAATATAATCAATGTGTTGATAATGTTCCTACCTGAGGTGGGTAGAAGGTGATACATTCTAATGTATCATCTCAAGCTGTATTCTATTAAATAAAGTTATATTTTAATAAAGTGATTAGAAGCTTTTGCTCCTGTCTGACAAGCAGCAGTATCAGTTTTTGCTCATTTTTATTTCCTTAAATATAGATATTTCTATATAAAGTTACTGGATGCTTGCCCAGAATATAAAAACTAGTAAATATACAATTGAAAGAAAGTTACTTGATTGGAATAAAATATACAGGATTTTAAAAATGCACTGATATTGAAAAGCTGATTGTTCCTGTAGCTAGGTAGTTTTACTGAGTATCTAAACCTTTTTGCATGATTAAGCACTTCTTTGGAGCTAGGCTGTCCTTATGTATGTTCTCACAGTGGGAGTGAGATAATTATAATTAACAACACCAACCTATCTAAATTTGGGTATCCAGTGCAAAGTGGGAGAAATGCAGAAGTGAGGGCAGACTCCATACCTCTCTTGTCCCACTGAACAGATGAAGCCATCATGATTTCAGCTATCCAATGTTCTTCTCTGGCTTGCAAGTCGAGCAGCTGGAGCAGGGCCTGCTCTGAAGCTGATTATCTGCTTCAGGACCACAGCAGATGCAGAAAGAACTGTGCTGGCAGGAAGGACAGAGGGAGGGTGCTCCGAACTTGGGGTCCCACCTTTTCTAAGATCAGGACTGGGACTCCAGCTTTTCCTGTCACTGTTCAGACAGCATCTAGTAGCCACAGGTTTGCATTTCAGAAACGTATCCCCAAAATGTCTACTTCAAATTAAGTTCTAGGTGATTGCAACCTCCGTGCCACAACTGATGACCAGCAATTACTTGTGGTGAGCAGAAAGAATGGGGCAAAGAAAAGGCATTTTTGAATTACTCTCCTCTATGGCTTTGCCAGGAGTAAAGATATTTTCTGATATACATACCAAAGTCACCTTCGGTTCTGGCAAGGTGTCTCCAGTGTGCCTGAGATGAAGAAGCAGCATCTAGTCATGAATGGCATGCACTCGTGAGTCTGCATGCAGCGGACTGAACCGCTGCACGACAGCTCCAAAGCTGCTTTCAGCACACAATGTGAGGGACTGCCAGGCCTTGCCGCTGGACTGTATATTCTGCTTGGGAGATAACAAAATGCGTAGGCCTGAGGGCTGTTGCCTTTTTTGGCAATGTCTGCCTATCTTCCGTGTGCTTCCAGTTCTTCCAGTTTGTTAGTAAAGTGTTTAATGAATAGTGTGGGATTCCTGCTGTTAGCCATGGTGGGGGGAACTGGGGGAAGATTCCAGGCAGGGCAAAGAAATGGTTGGCCATGGGAGAGACTAGCTACTGAATACCTGGGGATTTCAGCAGCAAAAGCATTCTAGAAATGAAAATCACATTTTCCAAGGCAGGATGCTCTGCCATCTTGGATCAGCAATGGGCACAACCAAGAAACTTGAACATAGCACAATACTTGAGTTTTCTGATACGATATTACTCCAGGTGGCTCTAAATATGATATGTTTAAGAAGTATTTATTTAGTGGCATTTGAAGACATTTCCACAGAGTAGAATTGGGAAGATGGTCAAAAGTGGATTGTACGGAAGCAAAGTTATTTTTCAAGCTGCAACATTTGATATCTACCGTAATCATGAAGGAACTCTGAATATTTTCTTGACTTACTCTTGCAGTGCAGTTAATATGCCTGAAGGAACAGTTATAGCTGGTGTGTGTGTGTGTGTGTGTGTGTGTGTGTGTGTGTGTGTGTGTGTGTGTTCTTGTGTGTGAATACTTGGTTTGCTATCAGACGTAAGTTCCTGTTAGGAATGGCTCTATGGCAACCTGCTTAGCGATGAAAAACATTAGCCAATAATTCTCAGTAGCACAGAAGTGCAATGCCATTGAAGTCAAGCCAGTCCAGAGATCCTAACACTGAACACCACAAACTCTGGTGAGTTTTAAAAGAAAATTGCAAAGCCTTCAACTTCCAAAATGATTGCACAATAGACTAAGTGGACTGCTTGATGCTATTTGCCTTAGCCACATACTTGATCCATCATTATTGAGCCTTTCTTAAGTAACCAAAGGAGGTTTTTTTTATGGCAAACTTCATTCTAAGGTTTTTCCTGAAAAAATCAGGTCTTTTCTACAATATTAAACTTCCTGAAAGGTGCTGGAATAAAGAACATACTTGTCCTGTTTTATTCATAGTTTTAAGGTTGTCAATAGATTAAAGAAAGTTTGTTGATTAGTTTTTTTACTTTTTAGATGATAGTCAACTAAATATACATGTTACAAATATCTCAGTTTTGATGAATGTTTGACATTCTTCAGGAAATGTAAAAAGATGGTAAATGTTAAAATTCACTGTTAGACTTAGGGCTGTAACATTGGATTATGAATGTATGCTCACATTAAAGCTAGTGTGCTTTACATCTATGTAGACTTGCATTAGATTGTGCTACATATTGGTTTAATCAACAGATTGATCGATTAATCAAATCAAACTTTGGGTGCTTAAGCACTGTGGCCCACTAATCGACTTCAAATTATGGATACATACATTTGTGTCTCCTTTTGAAGCTATTGTGGCAATGTGTGTTACTGAAATGGAAAAAGAGCAATAATATTTAAAAATGTTATTTCTTAACAATGAATGGTAGCTTGTTTGAATACAGCTCACAGGGTTGCTTTAGTGAGGATAAAATGGAGAAGAGGGGGATCCGGAAAGATGCCTTGGGCTCCTTGAAATATTAATAAAATTATTATCCACTGGCTACAAGCCGTAGCTTTTAGTATGGGGTGACTTATATAAAAGTGATATAAATCAGTCAAACAGGTAGAAGGCAAACAAGTCCATAGTCTTCCATTGACTGGCAGATCTAGGTAGAAGAAAACCTCGAAGAGAGGCAGATAAAACAAGAGTCCATTGAACAGACATGTTCGCATTACAAACAGAGAGCCTTTCCAGATTATCTCCTTTCATAATGATTGCAATGCTGTTACATGGGCTCCAGACAGGTCATCTCAAGGGAGCACTTCTGTTCTCCGGGAATTTCATCTCTAAACACTCAAAGCTCTTTTTTCCTAAATTCCTGGGAAATCCTTAAGCGTTGTTTGCCAAAAATCAATAAAACATGAAGGTTAGTCCTATCTAAATAAAGCTCAAATTGTGATGTCCATTTCAATCCTGACACACCAAACCAAGACAGACTGTGTACATCAATGATGCAAAATATTTTTGATGACCTGGAGGTTATATAGTTCTGGAGGCTGCAGTATATGGGCTGTGTTTGTTTGTAATTCCCTTGGCAACTTTATTTTCTTCACTTCAGTCTGTTCCCTTTATCTTAGTTTCTCTTTTATTCTGTATTTTTTAAATTATGTAACTGTATATGTTGGGAAAATAGAAATAATAAAAAAAATGTCTGGCGGTTGCTGTCATACTGCAAATCTTACCTTGACAGCCACAGAATAATTCTCCTGTCACATGTCAGTTCTGAATGTGTGGATTTCCTTGTTTTGAGAAGCCAGTGAGTACAAGATGTGGCTAGATCAAAATATTTATTTGTCCTGAACTGTATGCTTTGAATAGAATGTCTAGTTGCAAACATATGTAGACACCCAAGCCCAAGGTACTCTCTGTACCATGAAACACACAGTCTAGGCACAACCTAGACTGCAGCTACTGGCGTGGCTTGGTTCCAGCACTGTCAGCCCTTGCAGTAGGTGCAGGGGATGGGACAGGAAGCAGCAGTCACCTGTTGGAGGGAGAGAAACGGGGGCACCTTGGGACTCCTCTGTTCTAGCTGCTGCTCTCAGGTGCAGTGGAGTGCCCTGTCCACACCAGCCCTGAAGCAAGATTCAACTGCCCCTCTGTTTCCAGGCCCAGCTGTGAGTGCTACCAGTTCAAATCTTTAAAGCCCTAAATAATTTGGGACCGAATTATGGGACACATCCTTTTAAGAGCTGCACGAGAGAGAGTGGTACCTGCTGAATCGACAACATCCAGTTATTTAAGGCATAATGATAAGGAATGCCTAGTCATGCTAGAAAGAAAAGGTTTCGTGTAGTACATCGAAAGGTATTTGGGGGTTTATGATTAGTTTAAACCAGGCTTCTTCAACCTGGTGCATTCCTGATGCTCTGGCTAGGGGATTATAGGAGTTGTAGTCCAGCACATTTGGAGGGTGCCAGGTTGGGATAGCTTACTTAAGGCAATTGTGCTTTGTTTATATTAATACCAGTTTTTAAAAAGTCTGGCTTCTTGTATTTTTATGTATGTTATCCTTTTATTGTACATTGCCTGCAGTGCTGTTTGAGCAGAGCAGTCCAAAAGTCTTCTAAATGAATAAGCAATTTGTACACACGCATGTATTTCAGAGGCCAGCATCACAAGCTGATACAGATCTGTTCAGATGTATATTCAATTGCAACTTATTTATTTGTATTAAGATGAGTACGCCCATATATTTTCTTCTACATTAAGTTTACTAGAAGGGCCTCACAGTCATGTCAGAGTTCAGTTCAGTTCAGAGTCCATGTTCAGTTATTAGACAAATGGTTCACGTTATGTCGAACAGTTTTTAATCTGAGTAGATGTTTCATAATCTTTGTTCCCAAAACAGTGAGAAATTCAGGCAGAAAGGCAGTCTGTTTGGAAGAAAGTATAGCCCTGGAATAAGCATGCTTCAAGGTTCAAAGTAAGTTTAAATCGGGAGCAATCCTGTTGTCCCTAGACAGAGTCTGAGAGGCCATAGGATGATTTGGAGCCTTAAGATCCAAGGGTGGCATCTACTCTCCTGAGTTAGAAATTGGAGCCCTAGCTTCTACCCATTGCAGAAAGAACTGGGCCAGCCACTCACTGGGATTGGGAAAGCAACCTCTGACAGGTGTAAAAGGAATGGGTGGGAAGGAGACTGGAGTGGCCAGGATAAGAAGTATTCCACTGCCACTTCTCTCCCCCTTCAAAAACTTTAGCTAGACAAGCAAAAGAAGTCTGTCGAAGTGAGTAAGTGGGTCAGGACAAGGGGGAAGCACTCCTCTTGCTCTGTATAAAATGCCTCAAAGCCCCAGAACAAACATGATATATTTGCATCCTTAATAGACTGTAATGGGCCCCAATCCAAAAGTAGTTGAGTGCAACAGGTACAACAACTGGTGGCTTGGAAGCATGAGGTACTTCTTCATCAACACCACCTGTTTTGATAGTGTTTCAAGTGCAATTCCACAGTGGCTGTGTGAGTGGTAGGCATTTCCCACTGGGCAGAAATGGCAGGTATCTATGCAGAACGTACCGTAAGGAAAGCTGGATTAGGTCAGAGGTAGGAGTAAAAACTGGCAGAAGAGCCATCAAAATTTTAGGCTGTGCAGATGGTGCCAAACTACTGGTACAAAGCAGCAGTGACTTGAAACCACTCCTGATAAAAGTAAAAGAAGTGCAAAATCAGGACTAGCTGAACAAGAAAGAAAAATCATGGCTATGGAAGAATTGCAGGACTTGAATGTCAACAAGAAAGAATTTGAAATTGTGAAAGATTTTGTATAACTTTCAAAGGGTAAGAAATCAGAAGAAGCCTGAGACTTAGAAGGGCAGCAATGAGGAACTAGAAACTAGAAATCAAGTGTAAGGTCATCACTGGGCAGGAAGGCCAAGAGCAGCAAAACAATTGTATTCCTGGTCACTGTGAAAACTGGACAGTGAAGAAAATGGAAAGGAAGAGCATGGATGCATTGGCAACATGGTGCTGTAGGAGAGCTTTGCAAATACCCTGGACTGACAGAAAGACAAACAATGGGCCCTCGATCAAATCAAGCCAGAACTTGACCTGGAAGCTAAAATGATGATACTGAGGCTTTTTAATTACAGGCACGTCACAAGAAGCTGAATCAGTGGAGAAGACAATCATGCTAGGGAAAATCGAAAGCAGCAACACAAGAAAAAAGCTCAAATATGAGATGGACTGATCCCATAAAGCAAGCCACAGTCTTGAGTTTCCAAGAGCTGAGCAGGGTTGTGAAGGGCAGGCCAGTTCAGAAGGCAGCCACCCATAGGGTTGCTGTAAGTCGGAGGTGACTTGACAACAGCAGCAACAGAAAAGGCATTTATTCTACATACAGATGACATGGTGTGAAAGAAAGCTTTGGATCCTGATTCTAAATCACTATTGCTGATTTGCAGGTAACATCCAGACCAAATCGCCAAAGGTAGAAGCTGTAGTAATAATGAGAATTATATAGGCAGTCCTGGCAGTTCCGTTCCTGAGATAACAGAAATTTGCCTTTAAGTTGAATTTGTATGCAAGTTAAATCATGTATAGTTGGCCCCCCACATTTGCAGGGATTGGGGGTGCAGGACCCCCATGAAAATGGAAGAACCAGAAATATGTCTAAGCCAACACCCCTGTACAAACTCATCTGCATCTCCTCTTTGCAGCAAGGAGAGATTTCCCTCTCTGGAAGGGTGGAGCAGGAAGGCATGTTCTGGAGGCCTCCCTCTCTCCCCTTTCACGTCTTCTATCTCTGTGGTGATACTTTGGAGCTGTCCCTCTTGTCCATTTCACTTCTTCTCTCTCAGTGGTAATGATGATTTCCTGTAGTTATTTTTTAAAATTGATAGGCTTTATGGCAGTTTGTTTGTAAGTAGAGGTTGGGCATAACTCTGCCTGTAGTTATCTTAAACCATGGGTCGTCAAACTAAGGCCCACAGGCCAGATCCGGCCAGCCATGCTCTTTTAACCAATCTGCCCCACAGGTTTTGCACTCACTGGGTGCTCATGAGGCTTGCTCACGAGGAGGTTGTTTTGGAAACGCTTGAAGCTCCCGGCTGGAGCTTGTTCATGGGGAGATCGTTTTGGACTCGATTGGAGAAAATGATCTCCTTGCGAGCAAGCCGGCACCTCGCTGGGCTCGTGCCCGGCAGCAGCTTGTTCACGAGGAGTTTGTTTTGGACTTGCTCAGAAACGAACTCCTCATGAGCAAGCTGGGGCCTTGCCCCGCGCCCCCCCTCCCCATCTCCTCATGTGCATGTGCATGCACGCGTACCCTACCCCCACACCGGTCCATGCCCCCCGCCGGCACCGCCTTGGCGGCCTGTGGCCACTGCTGGCACCTGTCAACTGTCCCCCTGTTCAAAAAGCTTGGGGACCCCTGTCTTAAACCCTGGAAATGTGTTTTCCCCACCCACTAATGAATACTGCTGTTGTTGTTCTAGGGAAGTGCTTCTGAAGGAATGGATGGCTGCACATGGTCCCCCTGTCACAAGCACTGCTGCATAATGCCAATGCAGGCTAAACTGGTGCAGAGGCACCTCATGCCTCATCCCAGTTCCATCTTAGCACATCCGATCTGTGCTTTTGGACGACCCATCACAAGGTACGGAAAAGCAAATCTGAAGTTTCAGAACTAGAAGGGATGCGCAAACTATCGTTTGAGGATGGAAATGGCCAAATCTTGCTCCTCTACCCCCACCCCATCTTACCCTTTGGAGTAAGGGTAAGATGGCCACCACACTTCCCCTGACCCCACAACCAGCTACCCTTCAATGTTAGTGCTTTCCCAGCTTTTGCACATTTTTTTCTCATTCTAAAAGGTTGCAATGCCTCTCCCAAGGCTTAGTAACTGGCAGGAAGAACTTTAGGCTAAATTATGCCAGGATTGGGGTTATTTTGCCCCACCCTCTTTGCCCAGTCTGCTCCTTTTACCTTGGTCCCTGCTCACCACTGGAGCGCTGCTTCTGAGAGCATTTCCAAAACCGAATTTGGCCCCGAGGCTGAAACGGGCTCCCCAACCCTGCCACGAGTGTCCAGCTCAACAAAGAGCTTTACATTGAACTGCCAGCTCCCCCGTGCCTTCCTTGCATTCAAAGGCGGAAGGGATCTTGTGGATTTTTCCAGAGGGTGGGGCAGTACCCATGAAAAACAATGGAACTAGTCCAGTAGTTCAAGAGTGATACGCGTTTCTTCTCATGCATAGAAAATGCTTTGTTCTGTTTTGTTTTTTTACACCTTTAATTTCTTCTCAAGATGCTCATGTCTTGGCCACTGCCCCTATGTTCTGAATACAACACGCGATGCAGGATTGACTTTGGAGAGATCACTGGATACTGCTGGTACTCCTGTTCTGGCAAGACGGGAAACTGATGGTTATTTTTACCGAGGCGCTATAGTAAAGGGTCCAGAGGCAAGTTGCTGTATTATTTTGTAGCATGCGTAGACGGACGCTGTTAATTCACCCAGAACCCTTTTGCAAGCTTCATCAGGACAAACTGGCCTATTTGAAAAGCACAGTAATTCAAGCAAATGGGCTCATTCTAGTCATGGTGGCGTCAGATTTAGCACAACAGGTTCTTTATTCACAGGATTATACCAGTTCGGATGAATATTGAATTAATACAGGGATGGAAGAAACAGCCTTTGGCATTCTGCTTAGAACATGATTCAGTCTAATGGTTGATAACAGCATGCAGAAGCAGAGTTCCTGAGGGATAATTTCATTTGGACTGCATGGAGCATGAATGCCCTTCCGTCCCTCATTAATGATGCTTTCTCTCACCAGTCTTGAGGGAACACAGATCATCATAGATTCTGGGGACGCCATTGAATTCTAAACTAGAAATGTGGAGGGCTGAGTCACAAGTCATGATGATTTCTCATGTACTATGATTCATTTCTTCCCATCACTCTGACTCCAGAATGGCTTATTCAGCCTAAGTTAGTATCTGCTAGTGGGGAGAGCAACTCATTTTACATCCTGCTAGTCACTGGCATCATTGCCATCAATTTTTCAGCCATGATGGTTGACCAGTTTTCCATCTTTTCTCTCTTCTAGCATTTATCATGAAAAATTACAGTTCATACTGAGGGCTAAGGCAGCAATCCTCTCTGAACAGACACATACAGAATTGCTTCTGTTAGTCTCCCAGCACCTTGCTGGAGCAGGTTCTGTGGTTGTTGTATTTATGCTAATACCAAATGTCTGAGGATTTGTGCAATTTGGGGACAGTATCTCATCAGCTATCGTAAGTGAAATGATAAACAGTGTTATTGCTGGAAATGTGTTGTGTGTTTATATATATACTAAGCAATGCTAGGCCTCTGTGCACAGCAACACCAACCTCAATTCATTAGCTGTTAGCAGCTGAAACATGAAAAACAAATATTATATGTTCTTTTTCAAAGAGGAAGCAAATGGCATGGTTGTTTGGATCCTGAAGTCCCTGAAAATCAGACAAAGCTGAATGACGGTTATTGAGTATGTCATCATGGGAGTGACTCCGCAGTAAATCCAGAATATGTTTTTGTTTTTTAGTGCTGTTTGCATGACCACATGCAGCACAATATGTGAAGTAAATGTACAGACAAACTGAAACTCTGTACTGAATACATTAAAAAGAAATCCAGCAGCTGGCTTTTGTGCTAAGAAAACTCAAATTTCTGCACTGCAGAATAAACTGTGCAAATTCTACAGGTGTCTTTAGATTTGCTCTCCTAGTTTAATCCAACTTCTGTATTTGAATTTGCACACAATGTCCTCCTCCCAATTGAACTGCAACAGCTGAGAAGGGGAACATGTGGCTGACCAGATAAGATCCCACACCTGGCTCACACAACACTCATCTGAATCCGTGTGGAGGTCCTCATCTTGCCAAGTGCGTGTGTGTGTGGATGCTTGACACCTCTCCTGCTCCCACATGCAGTGCCGAAGTTTGATGTGTGTTCTAGATGTGCTCCTGTAGTTAGCAACAACTATTGGAACCTTGGAAACTGCCTCTTACCAGCAGAGGCTGCATCATGCTAACCCAGCCTGACAAAAAAAGCACAGAGGTTTGGTTGTGTGGAGAACAACCCAGGCTGAGCCCAGCAGATTACTGGGTTAACCATGGGTTGTTGGCCCCAGTTTCTCCTTAGTCCTCCTCCAGGTGTCCTCATATGCCATGAGAACCAAGTCCTCGCCTTCTTCCCTGCCGTGTTTGTTGCAGATTATCTTGCATTTTATCTTTTCTTCCAGAGTTTGGGAAAGCTGGCTTTCCTGATTTGTTTTAACAGCTGCAAGCAGTCCTTTCAAAGTGTCCCAGTGGCATCTTGGAGGGGCTGCCCATGGTTGTCCATTCTTGTCTAATCAATATTTGCACAAAGAATGATGCAGAGACTTATTTTTCCAAATTTCTAACTGCATGCAGAGACTTATGTCCAGTCCAAAACCACCCAGTTCCACTCTACCACCTCTCTTTTAAACGCTACCAAAAGCCCGGGGGGGGGGGGCAGTGCACATTTGCACTTTCAGTTCCTTAGAGGCTCAGAACAATGTACAAAATGTGCACCCTTGATTTAGGGTGCACTTTCTATCTTGGTTCTACCTTGACCTATTAGATATTTGTTCCCTCTTGCACTAACAACACCAGGCTAGTGCAGCTAGTGAACTGTTGGTTTACTTTTAAATTCTGACACTTTTTTTTCATAATTAATAATATAGGTCTTTCATTTTAATTTTTTCCTCCTTTTGTATCTGCTAACAGAGTGGAAAAAGAACATTGCTAGTACAGTTTGCCACACCATTCTCGGTGGATGGGGATGCAGCACATGTGCAACAGACAGCCAGTGGTGATGTCCTTGAGTGTGTGAACGGCATGAGACACTCCATCCTACCAGGTGACAAAGTGTTGGCACCTTGGGAACCAGGACAGAAGAGATATGGCCCTGGCACTGTCCTCCGAGGCATGGAGACCAGGGATCCCCTGAGAGGTAAAACCATGATTCTTTTGCAAAATACATCTGGGATTAGAGACAGTTCCATTCTAAAGCAGTGGTGTGGCTGGCTCTTTCATACCTAGAGTGCAGAAGAGTACTGCAACTCTTAATGGGGAACCATACTGGAGTAATATGTTTTATTGCTGCGTACAAGCTCTGCTTCAGCTAGCCACTTTCTCCTGTCTAGTGACACAGGCACGTGGCTCCGCTTCTCGAGAAATCCTCTCTTCATCCCTCCCTGCAGCATTTTCAGATTTATTTTCTTTAGAGCACATCCTGTGTCTGGCCTATTCATCCAATTCCATGCTGATTTGGCATGCCCTTTAAAGGTCCCCCAGCTCAGCACTGCTTTCTGAAAGGGAACGGCTTCAAAACAGCTACAGGGACTGGCCATCAGCGTTCTGCCCACTCATGCTGTTGGGAATTGGCCGCCCCTAAGCATGTTTCTGTGAAGGTGGTAGTACGCCTAGACAGAAAGCAGAATACAACCTAAATGTGCTGTATTTACTTTGTTAATTACCCACACGATGGCAGCACATTGGAAACACAGTCTGCATAGCAGAATAAAAGAAAAAAGCAAAGTGGATCACGGTGAAGTACCTTCTAGCCAGCGATAGAGAGACCAGCCTCGGGGCCAGAGGTGGTCAGGTATCCACTGTATGCTCTAAATCAATAATGAAGAATCTTCCATTACTTGAAGAGGGTGACAGCTTATTTAAAAAAATCATTTTTTTTCTTCCATAGAGAAAGAAGATGAAGAAATTACAGTCAGCTTTTGGAATGGCAAGAAAGCCACAGTCCCACGAGGGGTAGCCTTGTGGATTTCACCACTGCAGTGGCAGAGGATTGTCGAAATGATCCATATGCCCCACACCAGCAGGAAACAGTTGGGAGGGCCGCTCCGCAGAGCAAGCTGCCACGTCTGCGCATGTGGGCCTGTGGCGGCCTGCACATGCGCATGCACTCTGGGGGACCTGCAGCGGTCCCACTGGCCGTACTGCTCTTTCCCATGTCCTTGCTATAGTTGCTTTCACCACAGCTGCTCACTGCTTGGGCATATGCTGCATACTTCCTGCAGCTGCCCCAAATATAGTGACTGCTGGTGGCAACCCTCTTCAGCCAAAATACCCCAGGGGAACGTGGAAGAAGAAATCAGTAGCAAACCCACCCCAAAACTCCTAGCTCTGGAAGGTCCTCCAAAAGAAGAGCCGGCTACAGCCCCGTCCAGCCCTTCCTCAGATTCCCAAAGCAGTGGAGAAATGGGTCTGACCAAGAGCACCATGGTAGATCATGCAGTGAACACAGATTGTAGCCTTTTTGAGCAGCCCAAGCTGCAAGCGATCAGGAGACCAGACTGGAAGTACTGGAGGAGAAACCATCCTAGCGCCCCTTGTAAGAGCCAAGGTACACAGCACTTCCCTTGACTGGCCTGCAGGGGAAGCTTCAATGCCAAGGACATTCAGCATTGTCTCGGGAGGGAAGTGATTAGCAATAGCAATGTTGGCTTTTCTACCAGGGTGGACACAGAGATGCTAGCATACTTTAGAATGTAAATCTTGTCCTCCAATGACATGGGGAGTTGGTCAGAGGAACAGAAAGCTAAAAGGATAGCTTAGTCCCACAGACAGCATATGAGTATTTCGGTGCAAAACCACTTGCAATCTACCTGCCTGGTTGAAAATTATGTTCAAATATGATACATCCTACACTCAAATTATATGTGATGAATAGCATATTTTAAAGCTACATCTCCCACCTCAAATAGTTCCATGGAATCTCTTTTAATCTGCCTGCTCATGTAATACTGGGTTGTGAGTTGCCTTGACAATACTAATATAGACATATTAGAGCAGCATCCTAACCTGGCACTCTCCAAATGCTCTGGAGCTCCATTTCTATCAGCTCCAGAGAGCATCACCAATTGCCAGGGATTCTGGGAGCTGTAGTCCAAAAAAATTTGGAAACTAGAATTGGATGCAGTATTCCAGCTCAATTCCAGAGCCAGGCTAAAACTGCTTGACATGATTTCAAAATTTCACTTAGTCATGAGTCTGGCAGTAAATGTTTCATATAGTTTAGTGGTAGCAATAAGAGAGGAGGGGAGCATACAATACTTACATTTCATCACTGATTTATGCAACAAAGCATCCATTTTTCTTTAGTGTACCTTGCCTGTTTCTGTCATATTTTAAGAATGTAGTACTGAGCACAAGTGTCAGCTCTTTGGAATCCTACCCAAAAATGGCTCTATCATCAGTAAAATCCCCATCCACTGTTGACAACTAGTACCGTACAAAGTGATGGGATTTCCCTCACCCTTCTTTCCAGACATAAGTGCACTTCTAACATATTACAAAAAGTAGAATATGTTAGAATCCCATCCTGGGTTAGAAAGAAGGTTGCCAATTGCTTGTGGACTCCTAACAGAAGTGCTACGTAGCAACAGAAAAAGTTCTAAGATTTTGTATGTTTTAAGTTCCTATTTCAAACAGCGCCAGAGAAACCTACTGTTTCAATGTTATACTGTCACCTACAGGAACCAACATATTCAGCAGCTGCTGCCAAAAAGAAAGTGCTGAAACCAAAGCGTTTTCATATACGGATATGTCTCCAACTGGATTGAACAACCAAAGTGCCATGTTTGAAACCATTGAACACTCTCCCCGAAGGAAACTTACTATGAAGGATATCTTGACCCACAAAGATGTCAAACTATCATCAGGGGGAGGTTAATGCATGCAGTAAGTCTGCCTTCTCTAACCTGGGGCCCTCTAGATATGTTGGACTACAATACTCATCATCGCCTCCAGCCCAACCATGCACTCCAACACATCTGGAGGATACCAGGCTGGGGAGGGGTGTAATAAATCTTAGCTGAAACTTGGGCTTGCTTCTTATGTGCCCAGACAGAAATTCTAGTTTCATTTAATTTTGGATATACAAGAGTACATTACATTCAAAAGAACAATATGCCTTATTAACAGCTCTTAACATGTGTTTACCTCTCTCTCTCTCTCTCTCTCTCTACACACACACACACACACACACACACACACACACACACACACACGTGTGTGTGGGTAATGGTATTGTTTAGAGGAAACTTTCCTACCAAGTTTAAAACTTCCCTGAACTTTGGAACTGACCAGGTCACAAGAAAGGGGATGAAATAACCCCACTGAACCCAACACTAGGCTAGACTTTAGTCTAGAGGCAGGGAATGTGGCCTCTGGAACCTTAAGGCTCAGCCCTCAGTGCTCATACAGCACCAAGCCTGAACACCCAAGGCAAAGCAGTAGCACCGGCCACCATCTTCACTTCGCTGCACTTCCTGCTTGGCATTTTAACTAGACGGCCACCCCTGGCCATCTAGCTGAGATACTCAGGAAAGGTTGGAGCACCATTAGGATACATCATACCCTAACAGTCTCCTCCTCACCCCTTTATCCCCTCTCTGAGGCTGATTCTCCAGCCTTGGGGACACAGACAGCAGCGGCTCTTTACAGACTGGCTGTGATGCAGGGAGGGGGCAGAGTGTAGATTCCAAATTATCCTAGGGACCCCACGCAATGTCTAGAGGCCATAAGATCACAACCAGTTCCTTCTGTACTCAATGGTGCATTTTGTTGAATTTGCTACAGTGCAACAAAATAAGAAAATTTCACTCTGTTTAATTTCAATAACCTCTACGACTCTTTTAGCAAACTTCTTGTCCAAACAAGTTATAAACACAACTTTAAGCTTTGTTTTGTTTTTTTAAATAGCAGCATTTGCACTTTAGGTTTATTGCTTACAAGGGATTGCACAGCATAAAAATGAAAATACACCCACATGATTCAAGCTAAGGCAAATTTGAAGAACATTTTAGACACTGATAATAATGGTCAAGCCCTAGGGCCTGGGAAGACAGTATATTAAAATGTGCCACTTAAAACACTGAAGTCTGTTCATCTGTTACCTTGATTATGATGAGATCATAAATCAAAAGTCAAATTTACACTTTCTTCTGGTTGGATCTGTACAAGATGTGTTTGTCTGACTGTGTCTTCACATGATGATGCGCAGACTGTGTAGATGCCCGGAGAAACTTCAATGTAAATATCCTGCATGTAAAACTTGCAGGTCAGGATTCTTCCAGAAAGAACAATCAATGATTAGTAGCTGAAGCTCTTAATTTAAGTAAAAGGGCAGCAATTTCTTATTTAACTTTTTCAACAATAACATGGGATGTATGTGAATACAGAGATGCAGCTATAAAAACACATCTTCAATGGGACAGCAGTGTTGCTAAGGAAGAATTATGTTCATCTTCAGGAGCATGTCTGTTGGGGAAGTGAAGGTGGTGGTCTCCCAGACTGGGAAGGGCAGCTACCATGACAGAGGCATTGTGGATTGCTTCACTTAAAATATATTTAAACTTTTTTTAAAAAAAAATCCAATTTCACTACCCATTTCAATTCTCTATGTAGCCAAGTACCTGTGCATTAGATTGCTGGTAAAAGGTCTGGATAAAGGGCATTCTACTTAAGTTTTCAGCATATACCATGTAAGTGAAGTCCGCCTTCTTCTCTGTCCCCTGCACTCCTAACAGATTTGAGGGAAGCACAGAGCCTGCAGAGGGGGAAGGACTTCCCTCTCACCAGTACTGCCTGTTCTGCCCACAAATACCAAGTTCAGTATAATGCACAAGAGAGCACCCTACATCACACACTGTTTCTGAAGAAGTATAAAAACATAGAAACCTTAAAATGTTATGATACTTGCTTTCAGCTGAGCATTCTTAACTGGAACTAATGCAGATGATTCTGTATCAGGGCATCCAGGTTCTTCTACAATGGGACCAGTTTTATATTCCTAGAGAGAATAGGTATTGTTTATGGAACTGCAGGGCCAAAGTTAACTAAGTTTAAAAACAAGAACAGCAGCAAGAGAAATAAAAAGTGAGATTAAAGCTTTGTCTACATTCAATAACAAAAAAAAATGAAAATTATCCAGAGAAAAACAGCTACTATGTATGTGAATTTGGTTTCCAAACCCTTAATAATTCTACAACAGTCTTCTCCAGCTTGGCAACCACTTGATCTTTTGACTACAAATCCCATACTCACCAAGCAGCAATGTCCTGGTTGAGTTTGTTGGGTGTGATGGGAGTTGCAGTACCTGAGTTTGTGCTGTCCAGATGTGAAGGACATGATGTGGCAGGAAGATGCCAATACTGATAAGAATTCTGAGAAGCAGTGAGTATTGGGCAATTAAGTTTTGTCTGAAATATATTAGCTTTGGAAATGGATAGAAAGAGACACAGCCCAAGAGATCCTTTGGAGTATGTATTGTAAGCCACCTAGGAAGGTCTTGGCAGTTATAGGCAGCCTATAAATACATGTATAAACAAACAAACTGTCTTGGTTCTAAAAGAAATAAAACTTTAAAAAACAAGTATATTTACCTCATTTTTAAATGCTTTCAGCAAATTTTCAGATGCTTGCCTGCTGTGATATCTGAAAATATGTGCAACTTCATGCTCTTTGAACTGAAAGGGGGGCACGCAGCAATAGTAATTCTGTAGGAGAGTTGAAGAAAATTACTAAGCAAACTGCAAGCATTACTAAAATAAATTCATTAAAATATGATGCAGAACTGTAAAGTTACCCCTTTCCCCTAAAATCTAGGGGAATATAGACATGTGTGTCAGCCTTTCCCAGCTTGATTCCTCCTGATGTCTTGGACCACAGCGCAACACAGGCCCAGCTAACCTGGCTGAAGCCCAACACATCTGGAAGGCACGGGATTGGAAAGGCTCATGTAATACTGGGGTCCCTTGACCTTTTGTACATGGGGGAGGCATGTTAGGCAATTTGACAAACTGCTTTGGGCACCACCACAAAATGCCTAATCAGCGGATTGCCATTTTGGTATCCGCCTGCCATGTCCATGGATCTTAGGCCATGTCTTATTTAGTAAAAACTTATTTTGTGACTACCAGACTATCACAGCATCCCTTTAATAAGGGCTTGTCTAATTCAGCTAATTGCTGGGAGTACAATACAAAAAAACTCTTTTAAAATGTAAGTTTGGGGAATGACCTTGGTGGAAGAGAATATTGCGCAGATAAACTCTGTACTGGAACAGTCTTTAGTATTGATGATGTACAGGCTTATAATTTACCTGCTTCATGGAAATTAACAAATGGAAAAAAGCATTCTCTGTGCCCTTCTGACAGCTGAAAGACCGTAATACAAAACTGAAAGGATAAACGCTCATCTCCTACAATGCAATAGATCTTACAACACTTTTGACATATGAATGGGTGGCATATTGATGGACTATTCAACTTCAAATGGACTATTTGGATATTCGATCTTTTTTGGAAGCTAGAAAGTTGTATGAATTTCATACATACATTAAAAAGGGAAAGAAATATTCAAAAGTGCAGGTTTCCATGGGCACCACATTGGGGATGCTTCCATGGGTGCCACTGGAGGTATCCGTGGGCATGATGGCACCAAGAGCTACACTGGGTGCCCCTGGTGTCAGGAGTGGCTGCTCCTGTCATATAAAGCAACTTCCTCCATGCCAAGGGTGGCGCACCAGCAATTTGAGCTCAGCTAAATTTTTAAAAACCATTCAACTTGTTTCAGCTCACACCAATTCTCAACCTATTTTTCAGCTCACTCAATAGGAAAAGGGCCCATCTCAAAAGCGAAAAGTGTCCATTTCTGTGCATATTTTTTCAGAAGTGTGCCCTTCTCCCCATTGATTAAACTGTGAAATGCATTTTTAGCCATAAATTTCAAAAGGCACATTTGATTTCAAACATATTCAGGAATTTGCAGACATTTTTTGCTCTTGCTTGTATTCAAGACTGCAAACAGGACATTTACACAATTACACAAACGCTAAATTATCATGCAAATAATAAATACAAATAATGATAATGATAATAATGCTGCTGCATCCCTACAGCCCTGCCCAAAAAAAAAAAAAAAAAAAACCCTGGTAGAATCTCTGCTGCCACCTGCTGCTTGCAGAGGGACAAACAACCAAGAAAGAATTTTGTTGGAAAGTTCTCATCTGTATTTTAAACAGGCTCACCAGCTACACTTTTTGCAGTTGACTCCACGGTGTTGGATTCTTCTACCACCATTCAGAAATCTCATCAACCCCAGGTTTATATTTGGGGCCGAATCCAAAATCAGTGACTTAACATGTTCTGTTGATTTCAATGGCCCTACTCTAGATTCAGACCCATTTCTTGGCTGATTCTAATCACTTGGCCTTATAGTTAGCACTCTGGGAGTCCTGGAGTAATGGAACAGGTGCAGAAGTGTATTGCTAATGCCACATGACCAGCAGCAAGCTTGTGTTATGAGAGTTCCCATTCCACCCACTGTGCATCCCAAATTTGCCACAGAGCATCCTCCAAACTTCTGGAGCAGTTATGGGAGGCATAAAATAGCTCACAGAGGGAAGGGAATCAATTCCCATAGAGGTCTCTCTTCTGTCAGAGGATGAATAAAGCTAAATACAACCAGAAACCCCCACACAAATAAAAGCACAAAAATAGATTATGTGCAAGTACAGATCTGCTTCTTATGATCAACAGGTAGTTAAGAACCCACAGTGGCTTATAAACTATGCTGTGTGCCGGGGTGATTTGCATAATTAATCAGTGTAACATGTTCGGCTATGCAGCCAGAGTGTCTTATTGCTGTTTACAACAGCTCGTGGCCATGGTGCCAAGAGTAGTTATACAAATTAGACATCATACAAAGCCATCATTCAGTTTGTCGTTACCACTGTTCAAAGGTGAGCTTCCAAGAGACACCAAGTTGTACAAAACTTGCTTTTTCCTCACTTGTAAAAAAGGGATCGCCAGTAAATCATCCCCTTTGCAGTGCAATTGTCAAGGTTTTGAGGAGTTTTGGACCTGGATCCTTTGAGGGTCTTCTCACCCTACTACCCTTTTAGAGATTCTAGGTGCTCAGGAATGTGGAGAAGTGTGTACAGCTGCTGTCAGTTTTGACATATGTCAGTATTCTGACTCCTTTTAAAAGGGTTTGATGGGCGGTTTTTTACAGGGGTCGCCATGCTACCCTCCTCAGAGGGATGCATGCATTCATACTTCCATGTGTCTCTGTGAAAAGGCCTGGGGAGCCCTTTTAAGCCCAACCCCCTACCACCTCAGAATCTGCCCTTTGGAGAACCCTTCACATCAGTGAGGGAAGTGATACAGGTCACTTACAAGGAAAACTGGGAAGAGGAAGAGGAAGTTTCTCCCTTCCTCCAGCACTGGAGAAGCCTCCACTGGACTTCAGTCCCTCTACCTGTGGGAAGAATCTCAATGCAGTGCATCTCACGGTTATAGAGTCCCATCACAGTAGCCGTTGCTTCCACTTCAAGGGCAGCTTACCTCACATTCGGCTGAGATGTGGCTTAAGTGTTCAGCAACTGAAGCAAAAGCAGCAGCAAGGTGTGCATCTTCACTGGCCCCTTCCTGCTTTCATGAAACATAATGGTTACTATGTCACTATGAAACCCCCCAGGCAATGTAAAATCCTGCATTATCTTACAGCAGCAAATCTGGTCATAGGTAACTAAGATCTAGCTAAGCTGATTTAGCTAACTCAGAAAACTGAATATTTAGGGGCCAAAACAGACTTTCCTTATATCCTTATATCTAATAACCATGCCTTTTTTCACTTCTACCCTGGAGAAGGCACTAGACACCAAATCTGAATCTTAGCCCACTTATCTCCATGTAAAGGAGATGATCTAGACTGAAGATCTTAGAGTCATACCTCCTTAGAGCAAAAATGAAAAATGCATAGGCTCTAAGTCTCAAATACGGCTGAGGGTCAGGCATTACAGGAACTGCAGTCTCATATATCTGAAGGGCAAAGATAGCCTACCACTACTTTACCCTCTCGAGTATAGAATAGCCAGTGAGAGTTGCCATCTATAAACTTGCAGTGCAATTGGAGCCGCAGGAACCTAGGAAGCTGGCTAGCACCGTAGTCAGATCCTTGTTCCACCTAGGCCAACTTGGGCAAGCAGCAACACCTCTCCAAGCAGGTCTCCCAGCCCTGCCAAAAGATATTGGGGATCAAACCCAGGACCTTCCATATGCAAAGCAGATGCTCTGTCACTGGGCTATGGACCATCATGCCCCCAAAGACACAGAGAAATAATTAGAGCACAAGAACAGTTGTCCACATTTGGCCCACTGTGCAGCTGCAGCCTAGATAGCCTTGGCTCTTCAGGCCATTGTAATCATGACATGGGCGATTTTAAAACAAATAGGCACAGTAAACAGTTGTACACTTCCACCCACAAAAAAGATCTCGTGATTCCTTCCAAGAGCTCCACTATCTTTGCATGACTTGATAGCAAGGCACAGCATTCTCTCCTTCCTTCTATGGCCACCCTCAGCAACTATAAAGAACTTGACTCCAACCACAACCTTGAAGGCTTCTTTGTTAAATCCTTACCTGAAAGGTTCTTCTTTGCAGTTCAGTAGGCAGCGGCCAGTGCAATTTCCGTGTTTTGGCCCGTTCTAGGACCTCCCGAGCAAGTGTTGCTGTACGTTGCATGTGACGGGTCACACTTAGGGACCGGGACTCCATTCCTTGTGTCCCAATTTAAAAATTTAACAAAAACAGCAAATTTGTTTAGACAGCAACAAATAACAGTACGGGACAGGAGATGGAGACAAATGACATCCCCATGTCATTCCTCTAACAATTCCTATTCGCTTGTTGTTTCCCGGAGGTAGTCCAGCCAATGCTTTGAACATTTTGCTCATATAAACTACATCTTCATGGCTTCCAAATCCCCAGAAAGGAAGAGGTGCTAAGGATTAAACCTCCCCCACATCCAGACCTTCAACTCCAGAAGCTCTAGAGAAGAGACATGCGGTGTGCTTAGGCTTACACTGTCACGACCTGTTGCACGCCTCAGAACAACCCAGAGATGGGTTCAAACTGTCGGCTGATAAGCAAACTCCTCGTAAAAGGACCAGGGTCTTGAGGCAGCTTCACTCGAAAAACACATCCGGCCCCTAGCAGAACTCACCGTAACTACACCGACTACAGAAACCGACCGACGGCAGAAGCCCGCAGAAAGCAGGAGACACGCACAGGAAAGCAACCGCCGACCCCTTTTCAGGGCCGCCTTATCTAGAAATTCAAGCCCATCTTTTCGCGGGAAAGACCAGCTCTTCTGAAAGCGCCAATTAACGCAAGCGAAGCCGATGACGTCACCCAGCCCAGCTGCGGCTCCCTGGCCGCTACTTTCTCCGGAACGTCTAACGGCACGAGCCGAGGTTTTTTCCCTTGTGCCCGGTGGGAGGGGTTTCCTCCGCGGAACAGCAGGTCGCTGCGTCACAATGGACGTACGTCACGCCCCGCCTTCTTCCTCTCGGAAGATGACACGTCCTTAAGGCGGCAATTTAACTTCTGCGACTCTGGGAGTCGGGGCGAGTCCTGACCACACTCGCGCAGCTATAAATTAGTCAGTGCTCGCTTTAATCTGTGTGACTGGTACACGCGTGCAGCTGTGCGCACTTACTGGAAAGTTGCTTCTGAATAAACTTGCCTGGGTCCCCTGCTGTACGTGCGCGTAGGCTTACAGCGTTGAGGTTGTTTCGCCAAGGCGCAGGCGGATAGGGTATGGGCCACGGATGCTCTTGCTATTTATTCTTCGTCTTCATAGATGCCGTTTGTCCCGTTTCCACTGCCATCCTATGAATATTTACTTCGAAGTGACCTCCATAGTGCTCGATGAGCCTTATTTTCCAGAGAAAGTGTGTTTAGGATGGCAGTCTTATCCCTTCTGGTGGCTGCTATAATCGCCAAGGGAGGAGGGAGAGGAGTGGAACTGTAGCAGTGCACCGCAAGTAAAAGTAGAAACATTTTATTGCTTCATTGGCTCACACCGAGACAAATGGAGGAAAATGAGTCCTGTAACACCGAGCCCAAGAGTCACTCTAGTGCTATCCAATCACTTAAGACTGCTGCAATGCTAATAAGTACGTGGCATTTATGCATGGTTACCTGGGAGTAAAACTTCTTTAACTCAGTGGCACTTCGTTCTGAGTGGGCATGTTTAGGCTCGCACTGTAAGTAGTGTTACCAGCTTTTGAAGCGGCCCCTGTAGCTTGTCTTTAGCTAATGTATTGTCGGTTGCGATTAGCAGATGCTCCTGTATAGCGCCACTCAGTGGTAAATTTAGACGAGGTGGAACTAGAAATAGTATTTGTATGTGAACCGAGAACTACCAGAAGTACAGGCAGGATTTCGAAGAGGGAGAGGAACTAGAGATCAAATTGCTAACATACGCTGGATCATGGAGAAAGCTAGGGAGTTCCAGAAAAACATCTACTTCTGCTTCATTGACTATGCTAAAGCCTTTGATTGTGTGGATCACAAAAAATTGTGGCAAGTTCTTGAAGAGAGGGGAGTACCTGACCATCTTATTTGTCTCTTGAAAAACCTATATGCGGGTCAAGAAGCAAAAGTGAGAACTGGACACGGAACCACTGATTGGTTCAAAATTGAGAAAGGAGTTTGGCAAGGCTGTATACTGTCGCCCTGCCTATTGAACTTATATGCAGAGCACATCATGAGAAAGGCGGGGCTAGATGAATCACCAGTTGGAATTAAGATTGCTGGGAGAAATATCAACAACCTCAGATATGCAGATGATACCACTCTCATGGCAGAAAGTGAAGAGGAACTAAAGAGCCTCTTGATGCGGGTGAAGGAGGAGAGCGCAAAAGTTGGCTTGAAACTCAACATTAAGAAAAATAAGATCATGGCATCCGGTCCTCTCACTTCCTGGCAAATAGATGGGGAAGAAATAGAGGTAGTGACAGATTTTATTTTCCTGGGCTCCAAGATCACTGCAGATGGGGACTGTAGCCAAGAAATTAAAAGACGCTTGCTCCTGGGGAGGAAAGCTTTGGCAAATCTAGACAGCATACTGAAAAGCAGAGACATCACCCTTCCAACAAAAGTTCCTATAGTCAAGGCTATGGTTTTCCCAGTTGCAATGTATGCTGTGAAAGCTGGACCATAAGGAAGGCTGAGCACTGAAGGACTGAGGCCTTTGAATTGTGGTGCTGGAGGAGACTCCTGCAAGTCCTTTGGACTGCAAGGTGATCAAACTGGTCAGTCTTAGAGGAGATCAACCCTGACTGCTCTTTAGAAGGCCAGACTCCAGGGGATGGTGGAGGACAGGAAGGCCTGGAGGAATGTTGTCCATGGGGTCGCGATGGGTCGAACACAGACTTCACGACTTACAAAAACAACAATATACTGATAAAATCATCCACTTCCAACTATAACTGCCTTTTCCCCATTCTGTTTGCCTAGGCTTCATCAGCAGGTACTGCATTGGTCCCAGTGGTAGAACTGCATGTCAGAATTTTAAGAAAACATTTGCACAACAAGTGTGGTAACCACAGGGTTTGTTAAGCCTACCAAAGTAGCATCCTCGGTGTAACGCACAAGTAACTGCCCTACTGGGTTCTCCTGATACTTTTGAACAGGGTTACATTGACCAGTGCAGGATCTGTGAAATTATGGCTGCTCTGTGACATCCAAGAGCTAAGCCATGGAACTCTTTCTCCAAGTACGATTTTCTTTACTCAAACAACAGGCTCTTTTGATTAGTAAAATACACTTCTGCCCTATCTTGCAAGGACTTGCATCCATGCATAGTAATCCACACTGTCAGCGGTTCTGTTGTTGGGTCCTTTTCAAACTGCTGACTGTGTAATGCAAGGCACTGAGCAACATCTTGGCCTGACATTGCCTTTTATGAAAAGCAGACAAGCTTCTGTGCCACAGAAGGCTGTGGGAGACCCATACAAGGCTTTCTGTTCAATCATTAAGGCATTATCAGCGGAATATTCCTATCCAGAACAGTCATTCCTTCCAACAGCAAATTCAGGTAGTGAGTGCCTATAAATTGGGAAGAAAAATGGGCCCTCGGAAAACAAAAACAATTGGGATACCTCTGGCTTATGAATTACGTAAGTCTTTGAATTAAAAGAAAAGGCATTTGGATAAAGAAACACACCCAAAACTGCCTAAAAGGAACTTGTGACATTAATAGAATGTTGATAGCAGTTAAGGATACAGAAGTGTTTCTTTCCAAAGAAGAAACACAGAAACAGAGTGAGTCAGAAGGGGCCTCCTGGGCCATCTAGTTTGACTCCGCCCCCCCATGCCTATGGGCAAGCCTGGGTTGGTTTTGGTCTGATAAATGCATGCATCCCCAAAGGTCAGTGCTTGTTGGCCTGTATTAGCTCTGGAATTACCACAGTTATCTAAGTCACAGAAGTAATCCAAGAAGCCCCCAACCTTTTTGGACCTGCAGGTACATTTGGAATTTGAGACAATGCTGTTGGCATCACCTCAAAAGGCCTCTCACAGAGGATGCAACTAATCACATATTGTGTGCCAGGGGGACCTGGCTAGTCAAATAAGTCCCAATTAACTAAGTACAATCAGTGTACAAACCCAGTCCACATACTTACTCCCCACGGAAGCATAACAAAATTTGCAATCCTATGTATGTCTACATGGAATGCAATAGGGGTTACTTCTGTGTTTAGCTACATAGGATTGCTCCTATGTACCCTCCTTGTCTTTTGCCAGTCCCAGAGAAGATGAAGATTCCCCCAGTTCTGAAAGTAATGAAGGGGCTTTTCTTATTTGACCTGGAAGATGCTTTTGTGTTTGTGTGTGCATCTATGTGAACAAAACAAGCAGCTGGGAAGGGAAAACAAAACAAAATAAGGCTGGGGACGCAGAGGGAAAAATCCTGAGAAAGGCAGTGCAATAGAGCTGATTAGAGAAACAGTGAGACTGGAGGCTGCAAATGAAGATGGAGCAAAGGGGAAAGATCTGTTTGTGTGGAAGAAGACTGGAGAAGGTTGGAAAGCAACTCTTTCCCTCTCTTCTGGCTTGTCCAACCACTGGTCAGCAAGTTTGGTCCCACTTCCTTGTTGAAGTAATGGTTATTGCAAACCTGAATATGGCTTGTGAATCTATGAAGCCAAATCAAAGGCAGAGAGTCTTTGAGACAAGGTCAGATGAAAACAACATTACAGTAGTAAAGACAAAGGGAAATGAAGAGCAGAGGAAGAGTGGAAATCAACTGGCTCAGTTCCTGGCAGTTCCAATTCAGTACCCTGGGAGAGGGAAGGGAAAGAAGGGATTAGGGTTAGAGGATCCTAATCCAGGACCATTCCCAGAAGTGTGTGCTCGATATCCCAGCTATAGTCTTATTGTATAATTCACTTCTGTATTGCTCAATTGCTGAAGCTCTCTAGGAAGTTCACAAAAATTACAAATCACAAATACATTAAAAAATACAGTATAACAGTTTAAAACAAATTTAGAACAATGTAGAGGGGAATCCTATGGCCCCTAGACAAAGGCTAGGGTGGTGAAGAATACTTTGGAGTCCCAAGTCTGAGGTCAGAAACTGAGTGCCTATTTTGGAGTTGGGGATCCATGCTCCAATCCTGCTTCTTCCCACCTGGTGAACCATGGTGGCTGCTTCTCCGGGGTTAGGAAATTGACCTCTGAAAGGGAGGGAAGGCAGGTAGCGGGAGGAAGAGGGCAGCCAGAATATGAGGTGCTGTTCAAACCCTCTTCTCTCCATCTCCAAAATGCCTTAGTAAGGCAGCCATCAGTAGTTGTCTGGCTGAATCGCAAAGCAGGAGACGTGTGGAGACAGCTGGCCTCTGCCACTCCTGCCATGCTGTACTGGACACTTGTAAACCTCTGTGTTATGAGCATTAAGGGCACAATTGATGGGATCATACGTTCAGTATAGCAATTTCAGTAGGCTACTAGACCTGATAAAGGCAGCTGCATAAATGCCCCATCATCTGCCATTAATAACTGGAGGTACAGGACAGTCTTATTCTGCCACCGAGAAATCTGTATAGTATCCTGTCAGAAGCCAGAGGCTGGAAAAAAACTTTGTTTGTTCAACCCTTTTTATAACTCCGTGCTTTCATAAATGGGTGGATGTATGTTTTCCATTTC